ATACCAAATCCTTATAGAGCATCCTAGAAAACACTCCCACCTAAGTTTTGCAGCTTATTTTGGTTTCTTTTTAAATTCTTTGTTGCTTTTTTTGTTTTGTTTTGAGAATAAATTACTCAAGTTTCGCATCTTATTTTGCTGCAAAAGTCCCAATGCCTTGACTTAAGCTCTCAAGGCAGCTGCCAGACAACGGAAAAATTATTATTGCAGGAGAGCTCTATGAATTCCTAGGAAATTAAGCTTGCCACAAAGCGAATCAGCTCAATTAATTTCAATTTTCCCCACACACACACATACACACAGGTATTGTGGCCTTTGTTCCTTTGGAAAACTGCGGAAAAGGGTGAGAGAAAAGCTTGGAATAAAAGTTCAATAAAAAAAAAAGCGAGCCACACACACATGCCATGATGATGGCATGCAATCAATGCACTTTTTTAATTGCTTAGCGACGGGGAAGTGCATCCTTTCACTGCTGGCTGCTTCCGGTATCAGTTTTGAGTTGAAAATCGATGCTGCAATGTGGCCAAAAAGACGGCGTAATTGACGTTGATCCACCTAACAAAGAACCACTCCCTGTCTCTCTCTCTCAGCCCAGGAGCCAAGTAAGTCACACAAATTGAAAATTGTTGTCAACGTAAATTGAGAATAATTATTTTTAATTGTATGCAGTTTGTGTGTGCGGTGAGCGAATTGCATGTGAAATATACAAGTGCCTCACGGCAGTAGCTATCATTTGTGGGGTTTCCTTTTTTTATTTGGGCCTGGTCATTAAGTATACGCCATGTGGAAGGCACTTGGAAAAATAATATAAAATTTGGGGGATTCTAGGGTTTAGTTTCGCATTTTTATAGTTAATATTTAGAGTATAAAATAAAGAATAAAATTATAATTTAATCATTTTCTAGGGTTCTTAAATGTTTTATTTACAATTTATTGACCTGTATCCCTTTTTAATATATTTTAAAAATTATTTAAGAAATATTTATTAACTAATAATTATAAGAAAATGTTAGTTTGTATAGATTTTCTTTAAAAATATATCTTTTTTACCCAATACAGCCATTCCTTATTTAATTTAAGCCATAAACTAAGATCCCCTACATCCAAAATATTTTTAACCTATTTTTCCAAGTGCACCTATGAGAAATGCAAGTGCATAAAAATTGCATTAAGCAAACAACATTAAAATTAACTTAAATGGAAATATATATACATATATAGAGGAAAGCCAAATGCATTTGACACATTTACTTAATCGCATTTCACCGAAATGACTCTGCGAAATGACAAACGAAAACCCAACGTAAATGCAATAAAAGAAATGCATATATTCGTGTGTTTGATGTTCGCATTACAAATTAATTACATTGGGCAGAAAGAGAACGATTTTAATTAATATTTGTCATAGCATTTTTGTAATTTTTCAACGTAGTAGAATACTACTTAATGCTGAAATGTATATTGCGTTTTGCTTAGATAAATATTTGTTTGCAAACAGAATGCGGAATTAATTGGAATTGTTTCTAGTTACAACGGATTTTAGCAGGTTATTTGATAGGCCAAAGCCCAAAGCAAACAAAGCCAAATATAATTCCCCTTTTCCCCCTTGAAGCATCAAACGGAATTAATTTCCGCAAAAGCAACAAAAAATAATAATCATTTGAATCATTTCTCCACCCTCTATAATGGGCATTCGATATGCAAGAGAGATCAAATTTAAATTTAAATTTAAATTAATGTATACGAGTGCAGCGGGTGCATGTCGAGGGGGGTTTTGATGATAAGTTGCAGCTGCAAAATTGCCTGATTTGCATATTGCCAAAGAAAGGCAAATGTGTATACATATATATCTATCTCAAAATCTATCTAGAAATGTCTTAACTAATAACTAATATTAACAATTCAAGGGGCTGCCTGTCACTGCTCATTAGGTTTAAGTCCAAGCCTGTCCCAATGTTCGACATGTTCCAGAATGTCGATTTTTGTGCTTGGTAAAAAGGACATTTGTTCGCCCAACTTCCGTTTTTGGAAATTCCGCAAATATTTGACAATGCAATGCACAAATTGCCTTGGTTTGCAAATGCCACAGCACAATATACACCCTCTTGAATTTGTATTTTCGGCGAGAGGGAAATTTATATTGAACGCAATTTGTTTGTTTTGACGGAAAGGGAGATGGAATCGATTTTGTTCCTTAAACAAGGAGCTTGACAACTGAAAGGGAACATTGTTGCAGTTTTAGGATACAGGTTTTTAAATTGAAAATGCATCAAAGTATGAATTTCTGTGACAGTTTCTTTTAAGGATTTAACTAAGTAGTTTTTTGCTTGTTATGCTAAAGTTTGTAAAATGCATTTTATAGTAAAAAAAAAATTTAGAATATTATTTATAAAATATACAAATATTGAAAGAAATTGTTAAAATTAAATCTTTATTAAACAAAGTTATTTTTACACTTTTATAGAAAGGTTTTATGTATGGCAAAATGCTAAACATTATTTGAAACCTATATATTCCCTTAAATACCTAGACTAAATATCCTTATATACTTATAAAATTACTTTAATAAATTTGTTTTTGAGCTTAAAACTTTCTTCAGCGTTTTATCTTAACTTTAATAGCCCCTAAATTAACTCTTTTATAAACCCAACTAAATTGAAAACCACTTTAACCTAATGAAACCTACTTAAGCTCAACCTAATCAACCCCTTAAATAAATGAAATGAACTCCTTAAACAACAAACCGAAATGCCCCATTTTACTGGCTTCGTGATTTATAAAATTCCCATGTGAAACTTGAAACTTTTCAAGTTCCCACTTGGAGATGAACTTCGAACTTCGATCAGTGTCACTTACCCCACAAAAAAACAGAAACTTGCCACGTTTCCAGCTCGCTTTCGGTGCAAATTAGTTTTTCTTTGGCGGCTAATTTAGCTGAGTTTTCTTTTATTTTCTTAAAATTTTTTTTTTGTTTTACACAGTCAATAAATTAACCGAAAATACTCTAGGTTTTCTGCTTGCTTTTCTTTTGTTTATATAGTTCTATGTCCTATGTCCTTTTTCTATCTTTGGCACACACACACAAACACAATCAGGAAGCGCGGCAGAGTATTAAAAACTCATTAAGCGACCGACGAGCAGGAGCCTGTGTGTTCTCTATGCTTCCTTATTTCCCCTTTTCTTTAATTTATGCAAATATCGACCGCACACACATATGCAAAAAGCAGGACGAAGATGAGGCTAAGGCTAAGGCTGAGCCTGAGCCTGAGGATGATGCCTTTCGGTAGCTGCCAAAAAAAGTCTGCGGGAAGTGTTCTTCCGTGTTTTTTTTTTTGTCCGGTAACTCGGCGAAAGTAAATCGAATGTCAACCGCACACATGCAAGGCGAACACTTAATCAAAAGCACACACCACACACTCGAAAAGTCGACAGAGAGAAAGGAGGAGACAGGAGGTCCTGCAGAGGACTCTGCCTTCTGTCAGAAACACGTGCGATACGTGACCTAGGCCAAGCGTTAAATTCACGCGCCAATGTTCCCGATTTTTACTCTGCTTTCTTGCTTCTCTTTTTTTTTTTTTTTTTTGGGTTTTTTCTTGTGTTAAATTTTCGATGTCGAAGAAGGATCCTCCTGCTGTGCCTGAATCTCAACCAATATATATATAACCATACACATATATCGACCAAATCCGCTTAGGACAAACTGACGACTGATTCTGCAAGTTGGGCAAAAACTTTGGCATTGGCAACGACGCTCCGCTGCCTCATCCTTATCATCCTTCGGCTGTTGCCGTCGTCGTCGTCGTCGTGGTCCTGCTCGGCAGCTCCCCGGGTTCGATGTGTCCACGACCTGCCGCACGTGCAAAGAGAGTGCCTAAGAGAAAACTCTCTGTTCCATTTCCCAGTTTGTTTCGCCAAGGAAAGCGCAACTAGTTTTGCCAGCCAGCCACTGGAAGAGGAAAAAGCGTACGGAAAATGTGTGGCATTGGAAGTGCCTCGATTTTCCACCTTCCACCCATCCTAACTCCTAACTCCCTGTAAATATACCGGCACGACGGCCCGTTTTGTTTGCCCAATTAAATGCCACATATGTCATAAGCATAATAATCTCTGCTCTGGAGCTGGAGCTCCCCTCTATTTCATCGCTGAAAGCACTTTTTTTTAATTAATCATTAATAAGAGCCACGCTTGGTTGGCGACTAAAGCAGATAAAGGCTGCCCCACAATCCGCTGAGTCCTCTGTCCCGCAGAATCCCAAATTGCAGTTGCACTCCGGCACCGGGCAATGCCGGCATTGGGGGGCCTTTGATATGTCCGCTTTAGCAGTCGGTGGAGTTGGTGAGGGGAGAGGGGACAGGGGACAGGGGAAGCGGCCTCCACGGCTCCAGCCGCAATTAGCAAGCGGCGGAAAAGTGACTCGGGCGGTGGCACCCTAACCCCGGCTCAATTGGAGCACGGAAAAAAAAGAAAATAATAACAAATGGACATAGCTAAAAATAATATATTATGCTAAGTCAGCTTTATAAAAATAAATAAATATTTAATAAAAATTGCCTTTCCAAAAACCAATAATAAACTAATAATAATAATATTTAATAGAGATTTTTAAGGATAAATCTGTATTACTGATATGATTTTAAAACTTTTAAATTAGTAATTAGTTTAATGATTTAATAATTAAATCTTTTTTAAGGCTTCATATTCATATCTTTATTCTTAATTAATGAATTTTTAATTATTTAATTGTATTAAAAATATATTCTCCTGGAAAGTTTTAATATTCTTTGTTATAAATATAAATTTATAAATATTAAAATAGATAATAATTTTTTTACATTTTTTTTTTTTAAATTTATTTATTATTAGTTTTATTTTTTATTTTCTAAAAAACAAAAATAAATATTACTTCTTAGGCAATTTGTATAAAATATCTAGGTTTTTATTATGTTAAAACAACTTAGAAAGATGTAAATATTCTTTTTAAAGATAATTTTAATATATTTTCTTATTATAAATTTCGTAAATTTTTTATTGTTATTGTTTTATAATTAATACCTTGTTTTTCAGTGCTGTTCCTAGATCCCCCAGTCCGATTTCCAGATGCGGCAGAGAAACAGAACCAGATCACGTACTCTGTTTCCCAGGGGGTCGCGGGAAAGACTTTGACTCTCCGCTGGTGAAATTGCAAAGAAATCTAAAAATAAATAGGGAAAGAGAAAACTTGTTCTCAGACTTTAAAATGCTCTCAATTAAAATATTTTTAAAAATCAAAAAAATATATAAAATAATAATAAAATAATAAATGAATAATAATAAATAATTAAGACGTTAAAAATCAGATATATACCATTTAAAAAATAATATAATATATATATTTTTATATATATTTCTATTACTAAAATCTATTAAACGATTTTATTTTTAATTGGCATAAATATAAAATAAAATTATTATTTATAAATCATATTATTCATATTAAAACAAATATTCATATTTTTCAATAATTATTTTGTTTTTCTGAAGAATTTATAAATTTTACCAACTAAAAAACCATATTTTCATGAACAAAAAAACTTTTACCTTCTTATTTCTTATTTTACTATTTATAACCAGAGTTAGATACAGAATAAATTATTTAAAAAACATTTTAAGAAGCGGATTTAACCATGCACTTTTTAAAAATAAAAATAAAAAAATTTATATTTATAAATTTTTAAAATAAACTTATTTTCTCCTATTTTAAATGTGTTTTTTATATTTTATTGACCCTTTCTCTGACCTTATACTAAATTTACAAAAAGTATTTAATATAAATTTCATCCAAATATAATCTCAAAATATTTTAATTAAGAATGGATAACAGCTCCTCTCTTGGCATACTCCACCTAGTGCAGGGCAATCCCAAACCAGACACCACACACCCAACAACCACAACATTCGGCCACTTGGATGTCGTCTCCTCCTCCTGCTGTGGAATCGATTGTGTAGGCATGAGGAGCTACTAGTATATTCCCCAAGTCCCCAGTTGCTCCGGGTTCCCTGATCTCCCTCCCCTTTCGCTCCGGGCAATTGACCCGCGGGTCGAGTCCTCCTCCTGCTGGGCCTCAACTGCTTCCATATGCTCGCCGGGTGATGTGCGGTAGTAAATACAATTTACTCCACTCGGTCGCACACACATTCCGATGGCGCATAATTTTATTGGCTTGCCGGCGACCGGGATGCACTGGGATGCGTTCCATTGCGTTCTGCGTTGACTTCGATGACAGCCAACAGAATGAACAGAGTCCCTAGGTGGCACCCTCGCTAACATAACCCATCCTAAATGACCCTCCTCCTCCTTCTCATCCACCTCCTCCTGTTGCAGTATCTCCGCATTCTAATGAGATATGGCCCCGGAGTCACTATGCATTTTTCTAGGCCCAACATTTGCAAACAGCACGCGGATGGGACAGGACAGGAGGGGGGGCAGGACAACCATCTGCCAACGGCAACGCCATGGGTCATATCCATGAGATGGCCCCTCTTGTTCTGGCACTGGAAAAATATATGTATCTTAGAATAAATAAGAAATTGAAGGAAGATTTAATGTTTTTAAATATAATAAATGTAAATAAATAATGAATATAAATATTAAATATATAAAATATTTTTTAGCCCTAAATTAAAGCATATAATGTGCAAAATAGAATGCTAATCCTTTAAAAATAATCTAAAGAAATTACATTTTTGGTATTTAAACACTTATTTTTCAGCTTATCCTTAAAATAATTATTCTTCTTAAAAGAATTATTCCAAAATAAACAGAAATACAAATTTTCACAAGTCCCTGAATATGATTTTCTTTAATTATATATTTTATACATATTTTATATATTTTTTCCATCTCCTAAAATACATTTTCTTTGAGTAATTTACATGCCTATCTTTGAATATATTTTCCAACTCCTTTACGTGTATCTTTTTATACTTTAATGTAATATACTTATATGATATAATATTCAAAATTTTTGTTCTTACAAATATCCATAAAATTCTAGAGTATGTATAAGGCCCCACTTTTGTTCACAGTGCACCGGCACTTATGGTCTGCATATGAAATCGCGCCCATAATCAGCTAGGGACACGGCGAACTCTGGGCTCGCATTGTGACTCTCTGGGATCCCCCTTTGGCCGCTGGCAGAAATGCTAATTAGGCGTAATTCACATAAAATTCGCAAACATTTGCTGTCACCGGGAGTAGCGAGACGTTGCAGTCATGGCTGTGCTTTGGTGTAGCTTTTGATTTACGAGTTCCAGGACGCGGACAAGGACCCAAGGCTGCCAATCTGACCAATCCGACCTATCAACGGCTCATCAATGGCCGCTAGGAGAACCACCTTCCAATCAGCGGTCCATTCGTCATCATCTGTCCCTCATCCTCTGATTAATTACTAAGTGTGTGGGTGTGTGTAAGCCGATATGATTCAGTTTATTATGGGTTTTGGTTTTTGGTTTTGGAATTAGGAAGTTAGGAAAGTTCAAATTTTCACGGATTTAAAGGTATTAAACTGTTATAAAACGGGGTAGTTAAAGCAAGAAAGTTTGGGAAATTTATATATTTACTATATTTAATTTAATAACTCATTTATGTATTTATTTATATACTATATACTTTTAAAATATTATTTTTATTTTTAATGCAGTATTAGGGAATTTATTTAAAAGAAAAATTACTTAATAGTATTTAGGGAGACACCAATATTAAATTAAATCAAAATCCTCCCCAACTTGCAGTTTCGCCCATCTAAATTGAGTAAATCTCCCCAGACAGATTGAAAATTGATAAAAGCCATTGGCAGTTGTTTGTGTTAATTAAACGGCCAAGTTGTTGGATCAGGACTCACGATTCCCATCGAGTTTGGCATAGTTTCCTTGGACGGATATTATACACTTAGCTCTTAGGACTTGGCATACCCAACACCGCGGGGACAGGGGGGTGGCCAACTATTGTCGTGCCGCCTCCATTGTAGCATCCTCTTGAAAGGATTTCAATGTCACACCGCAACTGTTCCCAGTCCCCTCGGTACATTACATTAACCCACGGGGAAGCATCAAGTTTACCGCGACCACAAAAGCGACGAAAATGAAAATTCATGAAAGTTTATCGCATCCAGGCGGAGAGATCCGGCTGTAGCCGTAGCCATCCATTCGCTCCACTTTTGTGGTCAATTAACGGCCCTCGGCCAGCCTCGAGAGTTTGTTTTTGTGTAATGAATTTAAATGACCCACTGCGCCGGCTCATCAAGTGCTGCAAAGTGTTTTCCAACAGGACGCGGAAGGACAGCAGTCTGAAGGCCTGCCTCAGCAGTCTAAGCCCGCCCAGATACCGCCCGCACTCCCCCCTGTGACAGCACCTGTCGCCGAAAAATTTCCCAACAATTTGGCTAATGACTTCTATGGTGGTTAGGAGGCGGACGGACAGAGTTGTCAAGTAAATACTAATTATGAGTTGGCTATTTTATATTCTAAATATAAATATGGGTTATATTTTTATTTTTTAGTTTTATTACGATTAGAAAAAGAATCCTTTTTCTCTCTAAATTACTACTTAGTGATGCCAAAGAAAACGCTTAAGATTGAAAATCTTTTTTGAAATGCATTCAAAAGTTTGCCAAAAAAATTTACCACCCTCAAAAGAATGTCATTTTGGGTCTTTAAATATTTTTTTAATAAACTTTTGACAATTTTACATCTAGTACAAATTTTATATACTTATTTTTAACGAATAAAATAAGCTGGACACTTTAAGACATTTTTATGGGTTTTAAATAACTAAAGGTTTTTTATTGTAAAATATTTACTTAAGATATAGCAAACCCTTTTTTTTTAATTCATTCACAAATATATATATTATTTTTTTAACCTAAACTTGGCTTGAAAAAAGCCAAGGTAACACTCTACTTGGATGCGGCCTGGAGTTGAGTGTAAATACCAAATTAATTATATTCCATGCAGAGAAATTAATCAAGCGTAGCGTTGGCCAAACCAAAACCAACTACACGCTCCCAATGAACTCTATTTAACCCCAAAAACAAGCCACGCCCCCACAGCCGCCCCCCACGGCACAGGTGTGAGCCGGAGTTGTGCCCAGCTTGCGGCCATTTCATTAATCACACTCAACACTTTGGAGGAGTCTGGGGCCAGGACTTGGACTCTGGCCTCGGGTTTGGGTCTGGCTCTGGGTCTGGCTCTGTTGCTGCAGCTTTGGTTTTTGTGGGTGGGGGCAGAAGGTAAGCCTGCCCGTGGCCAATGTCAAATGGTTTCTTGGGGGCCCTGTCTGGGCCAACTTCCGATTATTTATTATTGTGCATATTCAAAGCGTTTGGAGTATACTTAAAATTAAATGAAAATAGTCTTTTTTACATTTTTTTTTTTATGAAAATCAGAAATAAACGCTGCATATATGAACTAAATAAATAAATGCATAAAATAAAATATATATTAACAATATTCTTAAGAGCTTTATTTAATTTTTAATTTTATTATATTTTTTATTCAACAAATTAACTAAATTTTTGATCATAAATCGGGGTTTTGACTTTAAATTTTTATTAAAAATCGGGAAAAAATTATAATATAAAAATTAGCACACAAACACACAGCTGCCATCTATTGAAATATATTTTTCAGTTTCTTAATTTCACCGGAATGGTGAAAAAAGCGTTTAATTTATAGCATGGACAGAAAAATGTTTATAGCAATTTAAACTTGGTTTCTAAAACTTGGTTTTTAAAAGCTCGGAGCTTGTTTTTTATAGCTAGAAGCTTTCACTCAATTTTTATGAGAACAAATTTAATTTATAACTACTATTAAATTATTTTTTAATTGTAAAAAAAAAATTTAAGCGTTTTGGAAAAGATTATGTACTAAAAATACTTTTTAAAAAAGCTTTCGAGTATACAAATATAAGCAAAGCACGTATTTGTTGTTTTTTCAGCCTGAGAAATCGGGGAATCCCGAAAAAGGGAAGCGTTTATGTCGTTATATTTTAATCAAATAAAATAAAAATAAATATTAAAATATTTCGAGTATACAATTAACAGCAAAGCACGAATCCCTTTTCTTTGAATTTGTTTTTGTTTCAGCCTGAGAAAACGGGGAATCCCGAAAAATAAAAGCATTTATGGTATATGCAAGTGAAAAATATAATTTTAATATAATTTTTAAAGCCCGGTATTATTTAGCTCTAAGCCCGCGGTCACACTGAAGTCCTCAGCTTCTTTTGAAGTTTCTGGTGAATATTGCAGTTCTAGCAATTTCTTAAGGGGGTCTTCTCATTCAAAAGCCGTTTTTTGGACCCTTTTTAAAAAAATTCTTATTTGAAAACGCAAAGAATAATTGAAAGCTTTTTTTATTTATTGTATTCAAAAATGTTCAAAGTAACTAAAAAAGTTGTTCTTGCCTCGATACGAGGGTTGTTCAAAGAGTAATGAAACTTCAAACTTGATGGTCGAAAAAAAAGGTGTCGTCCTGGCGGCCACGATTCAGGGTCTCCAGAGCGTCCGAAATGAAAAATAAAAACGGGGTTATAATCAGAATTGATGTCATTTTCGGGTGACGGAACAGATTTTTTTTTAATTTTTTTAAACAAAATGGCGGCCATTCAAAAAAAAAAATTTCGATTTCGGGCTTTTTTTTTGTAGTTTAGTGTAAAAAAAAATAGAAAAAAAAATTTTAAAAAAAATCTGTTCCGTCACCCGAGAATGGTGACAATTCTGCGTCGACTCCACTTTGTTTCATGAAAATCGGTTCTGTTGAACTGGAGATATCATGGCCGCCAGTTCGAAAAACGTGTTTTCGAGATAAACGCGTTTGAAGTTTGAAAAAAGCTCATTTTGCGAAGAACTTGCTTCACAAAAAAGGCTGTATCTTCTAAAGTATTTTGAATTTCTAAAAATCCTTTTGGGGACATATACACACCATCCCAAGCTATAAATAAATGCAAAAAAAAAAAAAAATAAAAAAAAAAGTTGCCCAATGAGAAGACCCCCTTAAAACGCACAAAATGAATTCTGAGCAGTGTTTAAATGATATTTACAAAATATTAACGGACTCCAAGCAAAATACTGGGTGCTGGGAAAATGCGCTGGCCGAGTTAAAATATTCGATTACAGGCAATGGCTGTAAGTTTTTAAAAAAAAAGTACCAACAATATATATATATAAATCTATGATAAATAAACAAATTCTTTTTAGCCTACGTTGTACTCTTCGACTTTGTACATTTTTCCGAAATAATACCCATACAGAGAGAAGGCGGACTTTTAAATTTAAAAGTACCATCTGAGGAGAGTGAGGCATATCGGGCGATCGTATCCCCCGAAGGCTATATGCTCTCTAAAAATGTTGACAAATATCTAAGCAATTTGTTTACTATTAACGGGTGTCGGTATTCAAACTCTGATACTTATCAGTTTAAATATAAAAGTGGAGTATTAAGCGTTGAAAGAAATTATTCTCTAAATGAACTTCCTAAAATATCAAAAGCAACATATTTGGTAGAACCAGCCTTTAAGTTGCCATTGTCAAAATGGCCTTTCTCTGATCCGCTAGTTCCAGCCCGTGTGCGCAACAAATTTCCTTGGTATTTTGCCATTCCATGGAGGAATCCAAAAAAAAATGACGATCGCAGTTTTTCGGTATTTGCCCCAGAATGGGAAAGCGAATTACTCAAGCAGCAGCCGAAGTCTTGGAAGATTATTTATTTAATGAATCACCTACGCTGGCTCCATTTGAAAAGTTTGCCAAAATTAACAAGCTACATGCTGGTGACGGTGGTGCTCCATCAACTTTCCGTTATAAACTGGCAAAGGGACTGGGTCAGTCTCCTCAGCGAATTCTGGACCCGACTCTCGGACAATTTACGTGCTGGAAGAATCGACTCGATTCTGGTTGATGGATGCAATCTTCTTGATTGTATGACATCAGAAGAACTGGAGCAGTGTGTGGATGCCACTCGGAAGATTCTGTTTCAAATTCTCGAGGCTCGTTACAATAATACCCGCGAGGATGCGGAGAAACTTTTTGAAGTTGATCTCAAGTGAGGAGTTCTTAAACATTAAAAATTACTTATTGGCTTATTAATATAAGAAAATGTTAAGGAAAAATAATGATGAAATGATTTTCTATTAATTTGTGTTTAAAACAAACTATTTAGTACAAGAAAACATAAAATTAAATAATGAAGAAAGAATTTTGTATTAATTTTTGTTTAAAGCAATATAAACTTTTGTTAAAGAAAGGGAATTCATGTGAAAAAAGTAAACATTTTGTATTAATTTTTTAATTTTTTAAATAAAATGTTTTGTTAAAGCAAAGAAACATAAGAAAAATTAGTGAAGATCGCATTTTTTAAGGAACTGTAATCCCAAAAATAAATAATTAATTCACCAAATTTATATTCCAAGAGTTTTATATATATTTTTTTACATCTAAACATAAATATCAATGAATGGCATCACATAATTGAAGAGTTGTTCATCTCTCACAAAAAAACAAATAATATCATTTAGGGGGGATTCCCCTTGCAAATATCCCTTACCAAACATCCGCAGGGATCTATTAGGTGCGCCTCTTGATGATTGCCATGTTGGCCAGTTGAAGGATTCGATTGAAATCGACCTTGACATGGGCGCGCCAATATTTACAGCGTCCCCAGATGACGGCCGGATAGTTGGGACTGCTAATCCCATGAAAAATGCGAGCAATATTCCTGCCACTGAACGTATTGTCCGGATACATGTTGATCAGCGAGTGCACATCATCCGTGATGCTCTCATCCGGCACATTGCTTGGCTAATAAATAAAATTCAATACAAAAAATATTTGAAATAAATAAAATAATCATACAAATTAACATTAATCACCTCCACTTCCAGCTCTAGATCCTGCGGATAATCATTAAGGAAATAATTACGCACTATAGCCTTTAGCTGCTCGCCGCGATCCTGCGGAAAATCAGCACTGCAGCACTGGCTGCAGGAGCTATAGGCCACCGCCGCCAAGCCATGGGCCACATACTGCAACTGGATGAGCTGTGTGCGTTCCTGCTTCACGGAACGCGTGTACAGCGTATCCAAAGCCCCATCAATCTCCGTTTCCGTGAAGTCACCCGGCACCTTGATGCGGAAGCCCAGATCGTAGAAGCTAACCGTGATGGGCGATCGCTTGGGAAAGCCATTAACTTGATTAAAATTCAAAAGGTTTTGTGAAATTAAAAACCGATTCAGAAAGAGGCAAAAGCAAACTTACTTTTCACCCATTCCAGATCCTTTAGTTGGTACTTGACCACGCCGCTGTTCCAGCCAATGCCGGCGGCTATATCAGTCACCGAAAACTCTATTATGTTGGCGTCCTCCTTGAAGGTCTTGTTGCGGATCTGCAAGGCAATGGCCATGGCCAGAGGGGGGCATTCCTTGGCTGCGTGCCTGGGGATAGGGAATTTTATAGGTTGAGCTTTTCTTAGGTTAATTTTTCTGTGCAAAAGAAGGTACTTTTCAACTAATTTTTGTGGTGAAACGGCTAAAGTTGGCTTATTGAAATAAATACCTTAAAATAACACAACATTTAAATCATTTTATGTGAATTTTTGTATCAAAAAATATTTAGAGGTATAGAAGTTATAGAGCATCTCCCGAGTCCCCTCAAAATCACCCTTTAACCTTACCCCCCCCTTAACCCACTTTATTTAACAACTCACTTGAGGTACTTGGGTCCACCGTAGGATATCACCTTGGCCATCACATACGCCGAGCTGAGCACGCTAATGCACCAGCGAGGATCCAGCTCCATGTAGCAGAGCAGCGTGGATATATTCTCCGCCGGAATGTCTAGCATCTCCACGGTTTTCTCCACAGAGAAACCAATCTCATGACCAGGACACACATGTTCCCTGGGACCCTCGCCCTCGGGCACCACCACAGAAACTGTTTCCTTGTTGCAACTGCAGGGCACAAAGACCTTTTGCAGCAGCTTGCGAATCACATGACGATCAATGGAATTGGAGTAGACATGACGACGCAGCTCACTCTGGTCACCGCCCTTGGAGTCCAAAAAGAGATGGCAATGTGAGGTGAGGCCATCGCGTCCTGCACGTCCTATCTCCTGGACATAGCTCTCGAAATTACGCGGCATATTGTAGTGGATAACGGCACGTATATCAGGCTTATTAATGCCCATGCCAAAGGCAATGGTGGCCACCACAATGCGCAGCTCATTGCCCATAAAGGCTTTTTGTACGGTGCGTCGTCTGGAGGCGGGCATGCCCGCATGGTAAGGTTCTGCCTGCCAATTGACACGCTTGCGCTTTTTGCCCTGCTCCTGGGCGGGCTGCCGGCGATCCTGCACGCAGGTCCTGATAAAGCCAGCTATCCTTTCGCACTCATCACGTCGCGTGCAGTAGATAATGATGGATTGGCAGGGCTCAAAGCTGAAAGGGATTAGGAAGGTGAAGGATTAAAGAGACAAGCATAAGCCTCCTCTTACCGTTCACTGTTCAACAGCATCAGCAGGGCCGCATCTCGATTCTCATCCTTGGACACAGACAACACCAGGTTATCCGGCAGTGGGGTATCACTGATCACTCCCCGCTCCCCGTCAGCAATGCCCAAATGGCTGATGATGCTCACCCGCGTGGGCAGCGTAGCGGTGGCCGTGAGTCCCAGCACCGTGTGCACGCCCAGATTCTTGCGCAGCACCTTGCAGATCATCAGATAGCTGGGCCGAAAATTGTGACTCCACTGGGACACGCAATGCGCCTCATCAATGCAGGCAAAGGCAATGGGCGGCAGTTGCCTCAAAATGGCACCAAAACCCGTGGCCCGCTCGCCGGAAACCACAGCCTCCGGCGAGACCAACAGGATGTCAATCTCTCCATCTGCTATCATTTGCTGAATCTTCATTCGCTGTTGCGGCGTCTGGTTCGTGTGTAGGCAGTGGGCGCGCAGGAAGTGTGGCACACCGGTGACCTGGTCCTCCATCAGGGACACCAACGGTGATATGACCAGCGTGATGGCTCCCAATTTGCGGCTGTAGAGGTAGGCAGGCAGCTGATAACACAAAGACTTGCCGCTGCCCGTGCTGAGGGTCACCAGCGAGGAGAAACCGGAGAGAGTGCGCATGATGGCCCGATCCTGACCCTTCCTAAAGTTGCTGTGCCCGAACATGTGCAGGGTCTCCAGCACCTCGGGTGTGGTGTCCTGGACAGTGCCATCTGGCAGGAGATCGTATAGAGGCCTAACACCGCCATGCTGGCTGCGATTGGATGAGGCAGCGGTGGTGTCTAGGCCAGCCTGCTTGAGGAACTCCTCGGGAATCTTGTGGCCCACATAGGTTTTAATGGGAGACACTGGCTGGGCTGGCTTTTCCTGAAGCGAGGCTTCCACGGCAGCATCCAGAGCCTCGAAATCAATGTCAGAACCATCGCTGGACCAGTCAGGATCCGGATGCTGCTGCTGATCCTCCTCATCATCCTCATCCTCCACCTCCTCCTCATCCGTTTCCTTTTCTTTTTCCAAAATGGCTTTATTAGCCGCCTCGGGCAGCCTAGAAATGTTCCGACTGTGTGCAATTATGGCACCCTGGCTGGCCATCTCCTGGACCTCAGCCAACGTGGGAAAGGGCGAGGGATCCTCCTCCAGTTGAGCGGATAGCGGCAGTAAACTGTCGCCCTTAACCTTACACTGCTGGGCAAAGTGTCCCACGCCGCCGCATTGGAAGCAGGTGAGAACGCCGCCATCACAGCCGCCCATGTCCATGTCGGGGCCACTCAGGGCAGCCACTCGCTTCTTGTGCCGCCACTGCTGTTTCTTGTACTTGCTGAAGTTCACCGTCTTCTTGCCGCGGGAAAATTTCTTCTTTTGAATGTTTATTGTCACGAAATTCTCATTCAATTTCCCAGCAGCTATGCGCTCCTCCATTTTCTTACGGGCAGCCAATCGCTTTTCGTCCACTTGCATGGAGGAACCTCCTCCACTTGTTCCTGCCAAAGGAGCCGTCGTAAAGGTGTTTATATAACGCTGAGCGGTGGCATCGGCTTTCTCTAGTTCCTGCGAATTAATGCGTGGCACGGAGGTGATGTCGCCCGCCTCAAGAGCTAGAACATACTTGAGATCTTCGGGATTTAAGGGTTGTGCTTGGTCCTCTTCATCTTCGGGGGGTTCTGAAGCGGTTTGAGCAGAAGCAGAGGTCTTCTTGGTGTTCCTGGGCTTCTTCTCCGCTTTGATTTTGGGTTTCTTTTCCGCTTTCTCTTTGGGTTTCTTCTGAGGATTGACTTCCGCCTTGGGCTTGGCTGTTTGCCTCTTTCCTGCCGCCTGTTTGCGCTTGGCCTTTTCCTTTTTCACCTTTGGTGGCGCGTAGGTGGCATCATCAGCCTCCTCATCGGCGGAGAAATCTAAATCTTCGGGGGGCACTGTCTCAGGTTTGGGTTCAGCTACTACTTCTGTGGCTTCTCCTGGGACTGTGGGTAGAATCCTGCGTCGCTTGGCCAGCTGACGGTACTCCTGTGGCTCCGGTTCCTCTTCGCTTTCAGCCACTACAGAATCGGAGTCGGAATCGGTGGGCTGCTCAACAGGAGGAGTATTTCGGCTAATGGGAGTGGGTGTAGGAACAGATGCCATCATTGGCTCCACCTTCTTCTCCTCCACCTTCCTCTCCTCCTCCTTGACAGTGGGTTGCAGTTTGCTCAAATCCAGATTGGCCAGCCCAAAGTTGGTCTTCTTGGGAGCAGCAGCAGCATTGTTGTTAGGTTCCGCTGATGTGGTGGTGGTCACCGCCTCTAAAGCGTTTTCCTTGGTGTTGCGCTGCAGCCAGCCTTCGTCCACCTGCGTTTTGATGGCCTCCTTGGGCAAAGGATTGCTGGCCATTAATAGCTCCTTCTCCTTGTATTCCTGGGCTTTTCTCAGCAATATGGTTTCGAAATCGGGCAGCTCCTCGGCCATATCTTTGTCCTTCACCTGGTTGAGGGAGGAGTTGGAAGTGCTAGAGGCATTGAGGGAGCTATGCGAGAGCGGCTTGCGGGGATTACGCTTGGCAAATCCTCGCGTGGACTGGAAGAGCTTGGCACTCAAACTGGGCTTGAGACTGGCGGCGGCGGTGGCGGCACCAGCCTTCAGCAGCGGAGCGGAGAGGGAAGCCTCCAGTGGTTGTGCTGGCTTCAAGCTCACATTGGCTCCCCAGGCCTTACGGTTGATGGGCAGCTCCTCCACCGCCTCAAACTGGCGGATAACATGGTTCTCGTCCCGATTGGCCAGATTGGTAAGTGCCTGAGCATTGGGTAGATCCTGGAGATTGGAGAAGACACCGCCCGCCTGTGGCTCCACCAGCGCAGCTATGTCCAGCGGCAGTTGGGGGCCACCATTCACACTGAGGTCCTGGTTCTGGTCCTGATCCAGCAGGCTTACGCCCAGCTCGCTGGCCTGCGACATCTCCAGAACGTCGTAGCCATCCTCGTCACAGAGCACATCGTTGAGCGTCTCCTCCAGAAAGGAGGTTTTCAGCTTGTAGTACATCTTGTACGAGTCCCGAATCTCCTGGCTGGCCTCCCGTATATCATACTGCGCTCCCCCCGCAAAAGGATCAGGTTTTATTATGCATTCTTTATGGGTTTCCTCTGAAGGTCTCACCTTTGAGGGCACTCGTCCGTTTTTCTTCTTGAAATCCTTTTCCCACAACTTGACGCGGAGCTTGTACTTTTGGTATTTCTGCTTGAACACATCCTCCATGGTGGCGGCGATCGCTTCCTGGGAAAGTTATTGACATTTAAAAGACGAAAAACATTTGCAAAACAAAGTTCCCGAGAAAAACTAATACAAACGCAGCTGTTTTCGCTGAGCGCGCGTTTTTTGGTCAGCGTTGCCAGACCACTATGGGTGTCGGGAGTTGCCAGACCACGGACTAAACTACAGTAAATATCGGTTAGAAATGACAGTTAATCATATATTAAAAAAATATTTAAAATATATAAATATTTATATATAAGATATACAATTTAAAGAATTTCAATAATTCATAAATCGAAAATAAACTCTTAATTGTAAATAGTTGAGATATAGTATAAGCTAGATAAGGTAACACTAAGAACTATCATATGTAAATATCGATAAGAACATAAGGACTCGATATATTGTTATCGACCATGTACGATCGAAAGGAGAACGATCACTGAAAAAAACGAGTGCAACTAAGAGAGGTCATGAAAATAAGAAAATTAAGTTTTATAAAATAATAAACAGGAAATTAAATTATCAGCTCCAGAAGAGGGCATAATTTTTTCCAAGTTCTTAAATATAACACAGGCCGAAAAAAATTGATAAAATTGAAGAGCCGGAAATAAGTTTTGATGGCCCGAACTCAAGACCACAAAATCAGAAAATGTAATTGAATTGAACAAATCTTAATGGAAACCGAGATACCGTCTTTTGAATATGTTAAAATTCGACACATTCAGAAAAATCTTTGAACTCCGATAGTTTTTAGTTGTAATCGGTTTTAAGTTTTTTTCAAAGCCTTGGTTAACTTTCTTATGCTGTTAAGAGTTGGCCACACTGAGCAATAAGTTTTCATTCTGAAGTTCAGAATCTGAACTGCGCCATTTAGAAAAGGGGGAATCCCAAGAGTCTACCAGAACATTGTGCAAAGTTGTACTTTAATAAAAGAGAATCATGAGTTTCGCTGGAAATTTAAAGCATATTTTAAGCAAATTGGATTTCTCCGATAAGGATCGCGTTGAATATACTAAGGATGCTGTAGAAATTCAGAATTTTGTGGTCCAGCAGCTACAAGAGAACGACGAAACTTTTCGCCGTGTCTTTGCTGGATTTAGCCTGGGAGGTGAGTCATCTTGAGACAACGCCTCCGAGTTATGAAAATTTCCTGTCAAAATCGTAATTAATTTAATTTTTTCTTTTTTATCAGGAAGCTACTTGGATCGCGTGAAGCTGGTGACTCCGGATGAGTTTGACCTTCATATGAAGCTCAAGTTTCCATACGAAATCACTCCGAAAAGAGACGAAAAAGGATTTGTCTTCCTTTATGCACCGAACGGATATGCACCGGGCGTGGCTACCGATAACTATATCCATCGGGATTTTCTCCAAAACTGGTTGCGAGGTGCCTTTGAGAGGGTATTTAGTTCGTCGGTGCGTGTTCGTGCCACTTACGGTGTCTACACCTTGAAGTACACTTTGGCAGGGTATGCCTGTGCCCACACCATTGAGGCAGTGAGCGGAAACCGTGAAATATCTTTCGATCTGGTACCGGCTTTCGAATTCGACTCATCGCTTTTTCCGTTTTATATTCCTCCGTTCATAAAAAATGGATCTAGCCAATATCCATGGTTCGCCGTTCCACAAAAAAAATCGGGCAGCAATGATGAGCGCACCTTTATCGTTTGTGCCCCGCATTGGGAGCGCGAAATGATGAAGAATTCTTACAACTTCAAGAACGTGCTGCGCCTCATGAAGGGACTAAAGGATAAGGCTGGGAGGGACTCTTTGCCCCACTTGACCAGTTACATGCTGAAGACCGTTATGCTACATAAACACAACTCTGTGAACTGGCACCAAGATGAGGGAACGCTTTTAGTGGAGATGTGGAGAAGCCTGGTGGAGCATCTTCGTTCGGGGCGGCTGGACTTTATCCTTGCCGAGAATCACAACATATTTGACCGCATGACTTATAATGAGCGCAGCACCTGTTTTGCTAATGCTAAGGAAATTTTGAACAAACTATGCAATAGTTATTATCGGAACAACTTGCAAGCATTGTCCCAGCTTTTTCCTTAAACAATGAGAAATGTATCGCTTAATATCAGCAAGAATAAATAAATTGCTTTGAATATGCTAAATGTATCGCTTAATATCAGCAAGAATAAATAAATTTCTTTGAATATGCTAACCCCATCAGAATTTTGTTTTTAATTACAATTTGAATGCCTTGGCTAACATTCCGTTTCGGTCGCTGCGATCATTTCGTTTAAGACTACCCAGCAGACAAAAACTTCGTAAAAAATATTAAGAACGGAAGTTTTACGGATCTCAGGCAGACAAAACGTCAGATTTAAGGCTCAAGAATTACCTGTCCTGGGTTTTGTGGCAGCAAAAGCTATCATTTTCGGAATCCAAATAAGATTTCGATTGCGGACCTTTTACGATATCATTATCGGGTATAATCCTGAGAATTCGCGTTACTCGTCCGCTATTCATCCGTTTGCCCGTCCGTTTTTGAGCATTTAGCGAAACTAATGCGGAAAATCAGAATCTTTGTCCGTCTTTAATATTTTTAGCGGACATTTTCGGATCCATCCTCACAGAGTCCGCTGTTTGTCTGCTGGGTAATTATTTGTATACCCTTGCTGGGTATTATAATTTCAGTCGGAAGTTTGCAACGCAGTGAAGGAGACCTTTCCGACGCCATAAACCATATATATTCTTGATCAGCATCAACAGGGGAATCTTTCTAGATATGTCCGTAAGAAATCGATTTTTTGGTCATTTTTGCAAAATTTTATAAGGGGTTACAACATTAAAATTTTTGATTTTGATAAAAAATTGAATTTTTAAATGAAGTATGCAGATTTATTAACTGTAGAAAATCTTGCACAGAGCAGTTTTCCGATTTAAAATTAATGCTCTTTTGGCCGAGTTATGTTTAGCTTTCTTTCTTGTTTTATATGATAACTTTTGACAAAATTAAATCTTTAAAATTAAATAATTAAGTCAAAAATTATTTTAATAATATATAAACTAATATATTTTATATATTACTTAAGAAAAAAAAATAAAATAGTATATTTTTAACACAAGTGAAATAAATCCCATTAAAATTGACAAATTTTGTGTTTGTTTTGTTTTTTATTTGTAGTAAAAAATATCCAAGCTTGGCCGTTGCAAAATGCAGTTCTCACAATGATGCTACATAGGTAAATGTGACTCGCAAGGGGCTTCCCTCGCCAGAAAAACAACTCAAGAATACAAAAAAATACGAGGCGAAAGGTCGAAGAGAACAAAGCGATGAAGTCGGAGCAGGGATCGGGAAAGGCAGGACGAAAGGAAGGGCGAGAATGTCAACAGTGGTGCTGCGGGGGGGAGGAGAAAGGACAAAGAACGCCTACATGAGTATCAGGGCAATCTCCTCCGGCTGCATCGATGGGCAGCGCCAGTTGTATAGATAGTACTGCAGGTTACCGTCACCGGCGCCAAACTTGAGAGGCGCAAAGTACTTCTTGTTCTCCATGAGGTCGAGGGCATTGTACACGTCCATCTGGACATTTCGAGCCGAGATCAGGGCATCGTTCATCAGGTCCAGCCACGGGGTCTTCGTGGACACATTGTAGAAGGAGTAGGCGGCGCGTACCGTCTTGTGCACCGGATGGTGCATCACCGAAGATGGCAGACAATAGTAGCTGGTCAGGTCCGTAATGTTACCCTTCTCGTCCGCCACCACAAAGCAATCGATGATGCCCTCCTTGGGCGTGAACCAGTGGCGGAACTCCTCCTTGCTAAACACCGGACAGAGCTGAAACCGCTTCAGATAGTCCTCCAGCAGCTTGTGCGCTTTGTCCATGTCCTTGGCCGTGATCCGGCGATAGCCCTTGGTCTTGGGCTGATCGGGCAGTTTGTATAGCTTCATCGTGCGCTGCATGGTCATGTTGCGGGCCAGGTGCGAGAAGCGCACATCCACCAGCTTTTTGGGGTTCAGCGAACGGTGCCAATAGCGACAGGTGGCCACGGGCGTTGGCAGCACCACACCGGCTGTGTAAGCGGCCTGGAATATACCCGTCAGATTGACCCGGCGTGTGATCTCACGGATGAGTACCGGCGCCACACGCTTGCTACGCAGTTTCTTATGCACGCACAGGAAATTGATGTCCACCACCTTGAGCACCTTGTCGTAGGCCTTCAGCTTGCTGGGTATGGCCGAAATGAAGCCGACCAGCTTGCTGGACTTCTCCACGCGAACGCCGACATGCCAGTCGCGTTTCCAGCCCGGCGGCTGCAGCGACCACTTGAGAAACTCCGGCTGATAGTCGAAACGGAACATGGCATCGTCATCCTCCACATAATTCTCGTTCAGCAGCGTATACAGCTCCTTGAGGTCGTTGGCATCGTTTAGGTCGAGGGTCACCCACTTGAAGCCGCCGGGCAGGGTATATGGCTCCGCACGGATTTCACTAACCTCCTTGTTCGGCTCGATGCACTCGTTGGTGGTCACCTGCTCGTCCAGCTTGGGCACCGGCTGTGTGGACCAAAAGGCAAACTTTTTGGCCATCTGGCGGGTGCTGGCCATCGCCTCGGAGACGGCCTGTAGCAAGGCCTGCTTGCCTAGGAAACGAACAGCAGGAAAAGTATTGATTTTAATTCAAACCATAATGGCTACTCCTCCTCCACCTCCTAAATAATTGTTTCAACTCGAACTACTCCATGAAAATCGGCAAGCAACCACCCTGGTTATGTATATGGACATTCCCATTTTCCATTACATTAAACTAGTTTTCTTTAATTAACAAAAACAACTAGAAACAACAGTCTACATAGAGTGTGATGCCTAAATGGGGTGCTTGAACATGATATCCAAGGTTGACTGTAAGTTCAGCATAAGTGGGAAAATCATTGTAAGATTTTGGATATTTTTAAAAGGATTTTATTTTAAAAAAAGTTAACTTTAAGGAGTTTAAGGCTATTTTAATAGGTAAAAATTACAAAATCTTTTTTAAAAATATTATTTTAAGTAAAAAGAAGTAAACTTTAAGGATCTTAAAGCTGTGTAATAAGGCAAAACTTACTTAAAACGTTATAAAAATATTATTTTATTTAAAATAAAATGAACTTAAAGGACTTTAAGGCTATTTAATTGGGTAAAAATTACTAAAAGTGGTTTAAAAATATTCTTTTAATTAAATATAAGTTAACTTTAAGGAGTTTAAGGTTATATTATAAAGTAAATATCCTAAAAATGGTTTAAAAATATTCTTTTATTTAAAAATAAGTTAACTTTTTTCAAGGCTTTGTAATCAGTTAAAAATTAATACAAATGATAAAAAAAAAAGATTTTCTTTGAAGTAAACAAAAAAATCAATAGTATAACCTGCAATAAAAGTTTAATATTTCCTAAAAAAATAAACTAATTCATTTAAAACTAAAAATCCCTAAAAATCACAGCCAATCCCCTCCCAAAAATTCTCAATTAACAAAGTTCTCTAAAGTCAAGTTTTACTGTAGTTCCCTAGCCGAACCTAACCTCATTTTTGGACCGCCCCAAAGAGACGACACGGCTGCCCATAAAGAAAAGGGTTGTGTCCAGCCTACGGCTCACTGAACTTACTTGCATCTGCTGAGATTGAGGCCTCGTTCTTGGCCTGCTCGTCCCCAGGCTCTGAGTCCTCGTTTTCGGCCAAATCCAATGCCGATCCCGGTTCGGAGACCTTTAAGCCGGCAACAGCCTTTTCCAGCATCTCCTCTGTGGCGGCGGCCATCTCCTTGGCCTTCTGCTTCAACTCCTGGCCAGGCTGGTCCTCCGCATTGTCGTTAGGCATGTTCCGGCACCGGGATAAGCTGTCTTTAAATAGTTTTGGTAAATTAAAAAAACTTCAATGAAATTGCAAAACGACAAGGGCAGCAGCTGACTCAAAAAGCAGTGTGACCAAAGGCGGGGCAAGGACAAGAGCTCAAAAAAAATTAGACAAAATGGATTGGTTGTTAATTTAAATAATTTTAAAATCCTTTACTATTGAAACTAAGCTACACTTAATCTATCTTAAATTATTTATTTTACAAACCTAAATTTTTCTTTCTATTAATTTTTTGTAGATACAAAATTATTTACTTTATTTTATTTATTTTTTATCTTTTTGGAGTTTCTGAATACCCGCCATCTGGCCACACTGATTTTGATAACATTGTTCGGCGTATTGTTTGGATTAGTTTCGTATTAGTTTATATAGAGCCCGACGTAGCATGCAATGTGGCGATTTCAGTCGCTGATAAGCACTGGGACCCCGCATCACTCAACCTCCGGCAGCTGCGACACCGACTCCCTCCCTCTGCGATGACTGCCACCAAGAAGCGCCTGAAGATCGTGGCCGCCGCCGTTTTGGCTCTGCTCCTTCTGGTCTATTTGTACAGGGCTGTTAGCGTTTCGGCTGGCGGAATGCCTTCCTTTTCGGCTGGCGAGGAAGTGCAGGCCCGCTGGCCGCCCACCGAGAGTCCACTGCATCGTAGCCTGCAGATGGCCTACGAAGAGCAGAGCTCCCTGATCCGTGAGCAAAAGGAGGAGCTGCAGCGCACCCGGGAACACTTGGCCCAGTTGGAGGAACAAATCCGTAGTCTACAGACCAGCACGCCGCGCAAATACCAGAAGGTCAAGTACCTTAACTACAAGAACAGAAAGCGAATCCTCATCACCGGCGGAGCTGGTTTCGTGGGCTCTCACCTAGTCGATGATCTGATGGTTCAGGGTCACGAGGTCATTGTGGTGGATAACTTCTTTACGGGACGTAAGCGGAATGTGGAGCACTGGCTGGGACATGAGAACTTTGAGCTGATCCATCACGACATTGTGAATCCGTTGTTCATCGAGATCGATGAGATTTACCATTTGGCATCGCCAGCCTCGCCGCCCCACTACATGTACAATCCGGTCAAGACCATCAAGACCAACACCATGGGCACCATCAATGTGCTGGGCCTGGCCAAGCGGGTGATGGCCAAGGTATTGATTGCCAGCACCTCAGAGGTGTATGGAGATCCCACAGTGCATCCACAGCCGGAGACCTATTGGGGTCACGTGAATCCCATCGGTCCGAGGGCCTGCTATGACGAGGGCAAGCGCGTCTCCGAAACTCTGAGCTATGCCTATGCCAAGCAGGTGAGATGTAATGTTCTTTATATGTATGTACATAACTGTGTCATAATGACTTTTACAAAGCCATTAAGTCTGTGATTCCCTGGCCATATTATCAGTGGGTGACTGTTGCTTGTTGGAATTTCATCACCTTCATGTTTTGTGGCCCAGAAATGGGTTTCTAATCTTGAAAAATCCCAAAGTTGGCACCTAAAATGAAATACTAATAATTTCCGAAGAATTTTTCTTTTAAACGAAAAATAGTTATTAAATTTCCTGTAAAAAACGAGGTTACATTCCATACAATAATGCAAATCACACCATCAAATAAAGAAAACCAACTGATATCCAGAACCATAGCAGTTCTTTCCTGATTCCATCTGCAGTCAGGCATTAAATGATCTCAATTGGAATGCCATTAATTGATGGGCTCTCCGCTTGAACGAACACTTTTGCTTGTCACGAGATAAGATTTCCAATCTCCCAGCCGCTGACCACAAACCAATCGAACTAATAGCTTTTTCTGTTCTGCTTTCTTTGCTCTCCTCTCCTAGGAAAAGGTTCAAGTGCGTGTGGCGCGCATCTTCAACACGTATGGACCCAGGATGCATATGAACGATGGCCGTGTGGTGTCCAACTTTATACTCCAGGCCCTGAGAAACGAGACCATCACGGTTTATGGGAATGGCAAGCAAACCCGCTCCTTCCAGTACGTCTCGGATTTGGTGGACGGACTTATAGCCTTGATGAGTTCCAACTACACGCAGCCGGTGAATTTGGGGAATCCCGTGGAGCAAACCATTGGCGAGTTTGCGCAGATAATCAAAAAACAGGTCGGCGGACCAAGTGTAATAAGGCAAACGAAGGCCATGGAGGATGATCCGCAGCGTAGGAAGCCGGACATAACGCGTGCCCGCCAGTATTTGCAGTGGGAACCCAAGGTACCGCTGGAGACGGGCCTCCAAAGGACCATAGCCTATTTCCGCAACGAGCTGGCGCGCAGCGATCGCTTCCAAGAGAGCTCCAACAAGTACTTTGATACGCCTTAAGTGGGTTTATATAGCTTTGATGCAATGTCTCTAGTCTGCAAAATGTAAATATGACCAACGATAGCACTAATTGTAAGCCTAGTAAGGACCACGTGAAATCTGAAATCTTTAAAAGTTTTAGGTTTAAGTTTAGGGTTCAATGTTAACGCACTGCAAACTGTATATTACTTTATTTTAGTTTTTTTACGCAAGCTAAATTGTAATTTAAATAGTCACAGAAACTTTATTTCACAAACCAAGACCACAAATTAAGAAATACTTGCCCACAAACAAAGAAAAACAAATTATTAGTACAGAAATTTATTTTTTTATACAACTGCAGTGCTATTGCTTTGACCAGGAGGTAAATAACACTGGGAGTGGGACTGGAATTAAGTTAATGTGTAACTAACAATCCTTTCTATAGAAAAGTTACTACTACTAAGACCTTAAGGGTAGTTATCCAGTTACCCCCCAGATTCTAGGTATAAGTAGGGTTCGGTTTTTCAGTTTCTGTGTAGCTTTGTAGACCCATTAAAAAAACCAGAGGTTCTTCTCTGCCAACTAATCTTAGGCCCCACCAGTATTTTTACTATCTATGTACATGGCTTATCCCTACGCTTAATCTAAGCTATGACTATATTTGCACCTATTTGCTTATCAGCTAGATCTGTTTTCTGTTTTTTCACCTGGCCAGCGGCTCGAGCATCTCCAGAAACAGTTTCTTCATGGTGATGACCTCGTCACGAGCAATTCCTCGCCAGAAACGTCGGAGTATATCGTCTGCCTGCCTAAGCGACGGCAGCAGCAGTAGCAACTGTTGCTGATGCGACACAGCCGAAGAATGACGCAGCAGGTAGACCACATCGTTCAGAGAATTGAGAATCGTGTCACGGAAGGCGCGCAGCGAGCTCTGATCATCCAGCAGAATGTCACAATTGGCCAGCAACAGAGCCTTTAGCAGAAAGTATTCCTCCCTGCGCGGCGATATCCTCTCCATGCGTTGAGCTATCTGCACGCAGTGGTAGTAAAACTCCGTGTAGCCACACTCTTTGGCCAGCAGCTCGTCCATCCAGACGTCCGTGGCAAAGCAGAGTTTGCCGTTGAACGGCAGCGAACGAAATGTCAGTTGCAGCGTCAATATCTCCGCCCACGACACCTGCAGAAGCTTCATCTGATCGTTGAGGGGTAAATCAATGAAGCCGGGTATCTGCTTGGCCCAGCCAATCACGCTGACTAGCTCCTTGTCGTAGATGTCGCTCAGCACGCTCAAGATCTCATTGGGATCGTTGTGGTTATTGTTTTGGAAAATGCAAGTCCCATTGGTTGGTGTGACAGCCGAGACACTGCTAGACTCTAGCTTGATGCTGCCCGACGAGGAGGAGGCCTCATCATTCCCACTGGTCGTCGTTGTCGACGTTGTTGTCGTGTGCACCTGCTGTTGCTGCGGCGTCTGAACGCTCAAAGCATCCGGCTCGTACGAGTTGAGCACTTCCAGTATTTTCACATCGCACAGCGAGGTGGTGTTGGACTGGTAGAGCAACTGCATCGTCTGGTACGAATTGGATACGGGATTCCGCCGGTACTTTTGCCTACCTCCTCGTACTCTATCCAAGCGCACACCCTCCTGTAAAAGTAAGTAAGTAAAGTCAGTAAATTGAAGCAAAGGTGGGTCTCTCGGTGTCACCTTGAGCATGCCCATGAGCAGACACTTTTGGAAGCGACACGCCTGGCAGGCCTTGCGCCTTCGCTTGTTTATCTCGCACTCGTTGTTCGCCGGGCAGGTGTACTCAATGTTGCCCTGGATGGTGCGCTTAAAGAAGGCCTTGCAGGCCTCACAGCTGGCCACGCCATAGTGGAAACCGCTGGCCACATCGCCACACACCAGGCACAGGCGGCGCAGCTCATCCCGCACAGAGCCGGATCCAGTTCCGGCGCTGGTATTAGTGGCATTACCTCCATTGGCACTATTTACAACTCCTCCGCCGCCGCTGGTGCCACTGCCCGTTCCGCCACCCTTAAGACTATCACCATCATTGCTCAGCGAGACATTGTGCAGATCACAGGATAGGGAAGTGGTGGAGCTGCAGAGCTGCCGCTCCGGTGAAACAGAAGGCGAGGACTTCATGCCATTGCTGCTGCTTTGCGTGGTTGTTGTGGGCTTGGAACTGGGACTAAAGCAGGAGGCTCCGCCGCCAGCGGAGGAAGTGTCCACCTCCTGCTTGATGTGCAAGATGCTGACGCCGTCAGACATATTCGAGCGTTGGCTGTGGGGAGAAAGAGGAGATTGTTATTTTAAAAAACACTTGAAAATATGGAAAAGTAATTGGAAAATTTTAAAATTTAAATTTTTATCATATTATTACGCCAAGAATTGTTAATAATTCAAAAAACCAAGCAATTAAAGGGTTGCTTCTGTGGGAAACACTTAAAAAAATTGTCAAATCACTGAGCAATAGATAGCATTTAGCTAAAAGTCAAATAGTACGCGCTGCCTAACAGTGGTTCAAGTTGCTCCAAACCGGGGGACACTGCGAATTCTAACTGTGCTTATCGGTGATAGCTGGAGATTTGCCTACTGTGCGGACTTGGCGCACGGAAAGCTGGTCACCGGAATGCCTAATGAATGCAAAATGTAATTGTAATTGTAATTAAGCTGGGCAAACGGCGCACATAGTGCAATGGGTTCTCCAAATCCCTCTCTTCTCGTACCCTTCTCCTTCGTAAAACTTCATCGTTGGGGCGATGGAAAAGTACGGAACAGAACTGGAAGTGAACAGCGCACACGGAGTGCGATAACGGTACTGTGCGTGGAGTACCTACCGGGCTAACGGTACTACAAATCACGACGCATGGAGCTGACGCTGATAGCAAAACGGTCACAACAACAAACTTAAAAGGGAAAAATAAGTGTGGATATCGAAAAGCAAATACCCTTCCAAGGTGTTTATCATATAATGAAATATCTTTTCAGAAATTAAAAGAAATGATTTTAAAAAGAAAGGGTATTTTTAAAAGAAATTTAAAAAGGTTTATAAATAAATTTATATAAATAATATAATTTATACATTATAAATTTATTTAATACCCAGTAAATAATTTAATACTTTCCAGCTACATATTTAAAAAAATTAAATACAAAAAAATGTAAATTAAATCCCATTTAAAAGGCAACCCATTACAGAGCTCCCCAAAAAATCACAGCACCCCCCGAGTAAGGGTATAAAACGCGCGCTGGCAAAGACAATGGGGGGCAGTAGTTGTGTGTAGAGTAGCAGACAGCGGACTACTACGTCGGCCAGGTTGCAGATGAAAGATAAGCGCACTGTCTGCTTATCAGCCGCCAGGCGATTAAGGCCCAAGGTGGGCCTGTCCGTATCTGTTTACATACTTACATAAAGTATTTTTGAGGATCTTTGTGTAATCAGCAGCGATTGGCAACATCAATACATATTGGTGTGTGTGTGTGTGTTGGCCTCCGCGGTTGTCTGTGTGTGTGTGGTATTTTGGTTCTATTCGAGCACTTTGTTATTGCTTTTGTTGTCTGTCTGCATCTTTCGAAACTAGAGTTTTGGAACTAATCTTCCACGCGCTGGAGTTTATTTTTAATAAACTGATTATTCTTTTTAGCTTTTATTGCTTTCGGTTGGCGATTTATTTAATGCATTTTCCATAAGATTGGGCGATGCAGACAGCATCTGCATCGATTTTGTGCGTCCAGACTGGGAGTTAGCACTCGGAAAGGCACGAAATGTACTTCGATTGCGTTCACGTCACATGCCTTGCGGTTGTTTTTATTGTCTCCAGCCTGTTTTCGCCGGAATTTGGGGGTATATTTGCATATTAGAAAGATTAAAATGTAATTTTATTTTTTTATTGTGAACCAGGGCTGGCACGCACGGACTTGGGTATGTGACAGGTCTATCGATATATCGATATCTTCAGAAACAGTCTGGCAGCCTGAAAGTCGAACGATTTCAGTATGACCAGCTGCCGCTTAAGGAAATTCGATTTTCTGGCTTATTTTAGGAATTCAGAAAGGACCACACTGCACATTGTAAAAGACAAAAATTGCAATTTTAACAAATTGTGGGCTTTACTCGGGAAATGTGCAACTAAGAGGCGTTAGGTGGACGGGCAATCGACGCAGGTCACCACACACAGCAGCGGCAGGCAACCCCACACAGGCGGGTGGGTGGAAACAAAGGGGCGAATCAAAACAAAAACAATTGCGCGACAGAAAAAAAAACACCAAAATATTATTAAATATTACGTAGCTGCAGTAAGTAAATCAACAAGAACTCGTGTGCGGTGTCCTGCAAATAGTTAAACGGTCGAACTAGAGGCGACAGCGCAACAAAGAGGTAAAAATAAACGATTCCCAGTCACGTAGAATTCGCCAGTATGCGTGTACCTCTGTGTGATTGTGTGTGTGTTTGTTTGTTGTTGTTGCTTTTATCAGCAGCCCAAATAGTGTACACACATTCGCACACCCACACAGACACGCACACTCGTGCAAAGTTTGTTATTGTATTTATTAACATATTTATTTGCTCGTCGCTCGCCCCACGCTTTGTTTGCGCCATTCGCCATTCCGTAATGCGCAATCCGCGTTCCCGTGCGGATCGGTGTTGCAATATCACAGAAACACAATCGAAAGTTTAATATTTGTATCCTCCAATCTGTTGCAGGATATTCAGCTTCAGCCCCTCCCCATCCGACACCCACACTCACGCACGCACGCACACACACACGGCCACCATGATGAGCCTGCTCGGGCGCACCGACGTGGATGCGGGGGAAGTGTTTGTCAACTTTAACCAGAACATAACGTAAGCAAAGGGGACATATTGTGGATATAGGACTAAAAGGGAGCTCAAATAAAGGATGTTTAAAGGAAATGGAAGTGTTAAGGCAGCAGTTAAAGCGCTCCTGGAGACTGGAGAGTTCTGTATAAATTTTGTGGAGACTTTGAAGCCTCTATTAGAGGAGAAACTACGAAATAATTTCGAAAACCACGTAATTTATTTCATTTTAATTTATTTCTTAAAAAATATTACTAAGTATGAAATCAAAAGGATATAGTTTACCGATTTTAAAAGATTTAAAAGTAATTCAAATTAAAAACACACTTTAGGCTACTTCTTTATGGAGAGTTTTTAAAAATAAAATGATCTTTTTAAAAATCTCTACCTTTTCCCTTTAAAAACTTGATGGCTTAACCTTGGTTTCCCTTGAGATTTATCCATTATTGTTGAATTCTTCCTAATTATTTTATTATTTTAACCCTCCTTCAGATCTTTGGCCGTAGCTACGAGCGGCGGCTACAGCCTGTACAGCCTGGGCTCTGTGGACTCCACGCTGGACAAGATCTACCACACAAAGAGCGATGAGCTGCTACTCATTGAGCGACTCTTCGAGAGCTCCCTGGTGGCCATCGTTTCGCAGCGTGCTCCCCGCAAGCTGAAGGTGTGCCACTTCAAGAAGCAGAGCGAGATTTGCAACTATTCGTATGCCAACTCTATACTGGCGGTGAAACTGAATCGTGAGCGTTTGATTGTCTGCCTGGAGGAGTCACTGTACATCCACAATATCCAGGACATGAAGGTGGTGCACACCATCCGGGATACTCCATGCAATCCGCAGGGTCTGTGCGCCCTCTCCTCATCCTCGGAACACTGCTATCTGGCCTATCCGGGCAGCGTGACTGCCGGCGAGGTCCAGATCTTCGATGCCATCAACTTGCATGCCAAGACCATGATTCCCGCCCACGATACACCACTGGCGGCATTGGCCTTCAGTCCCTCGGGCACGGAAATAGCCACGGCCAGCGAGCGCGGCACTGTGATTCGGGTGTTTAGCTCCCAGGATGGCAGTCGACTCTTTGAGCTGCGGCGTGGCCTCAAGCGGTGTGTGTCCATTGTTTCGCTGTCGTTCAGCACGTGCGCCGAGTATCTGGTATCCAGCTCCAATACGGAGACGGTGCACATCTTCCGGCTGGATCGAAGCGCCACAGAGACGGCCGAGGGCCATGGCGGCAAGCAAACGAGCGATGATTGGATGGGGTAAGCGGTGTTGGATTCTAGTCTCTACTTTTGTTTCTGCTTCTGTTTTTTTTTTGTAGTTAGTTTTTGTATATTTACTGTGCGGTTAAGGCCAAAGGTCAATGTTAAAGGTGTGGGGTGTACACAATCGCTGTTTACTTTTAAATCATTCATTCAATCAAAGAGTTATCATTTATGTGGGGGGGCCTTATTCCAAGGTTACATCTATTCACAGTTTGATGTATTTATAAACCGAATTATACATTTATTTTTAATTATTTGTTTCATTTGTCGTAACTTTCTTGTTAAATTAAACTCATCCAAAATAAAAGCATTTACATTCAAAATACTTTAAAAATTCAACATAAAAATATAAACAAAATTTATATAGAATTTATATTATAACTATTGTTTTTTCATTTTAACATTTAAATTCATAAAGAAAACTTGAATTTAAAAAAAAAATCTGAAGGCAACATAAAGAAATATAGGATAAAATTATATTAGACAAGCAAAAAATTAAGAAAAAATCTGGAAAATCTCACTTCTGAGGCCGGATTCGTGTTAAGCGTATCAAAAACCTTTGGAAAAATATATAAATATATTAAAAAATAATGTTTTATACTTAGTAAATTGCATGGAATTGTTAAGCAAACTAGGGGGATTCCTTTTTTTAATCTTTAATTGAAAATTTTGTAGGAATTTAAATTTTCTTTTCTTTTGTTTCCCGTCGTGTTTTGGCATTTTGACATTTATCTATTTTTCTTTTCTTTCATTTTGCGAAACACCACCCGAAAAACACGAAACAACCACCTCAACAACAACAACCACAACTCGAACCACTCACCAAAATCTACTCTCTCATGCAAGTTACTCGTTTTTTAGATTCTTGAGCAAAACGGTCACCAGCTACCTGCCCACGCAGGTGACCGACGTGTTTAGCCAGGGACGGGCGTTCGCATCGGTTACCCTTGCGGAGGCGGGAGTACGCAGGATGTGCGCCATCACCACGATACAGAAGCAGTTAAGGTAAGTCCTTGGAATACCTTTTATACCAGACTAATTCCTTGAAATTTCCTTGACCTTTGCAGACTGCTAATTGCCTCGCAGGATGGATACCTGTATGTGTATTCCATACCCGCTGTGGAGGGCGCAGAGTGCCAGCTAATTAAGAGGCACGACCTGCGGATGGAGGATCACTATGCCATGGATATCAAAGGTGCTTAAACAGACTCGCTCTTCCCGCAAAAACACACCTCCACCACACACTCACCCACACACACACACACACAAAATCCCGAAACCAAAAACCCCACACCAACCGAAAACAAATTCTCTAGTTGATTCACCTCAAACTCTAGGCCTTAACAGTGGCGTAAGCATTGGCGGAGCAGCAGGCGTTCCGCCGGGCGGAGGAGCAGGCAATGCCGGAGGTAGCAACGATGGCAAGTCAGTAGCAGCGGCGGCGCCGTCTTCCGGCGGTGACAAGCCCGGTGGCTCCTATGCGTCGGCCGTGAAGGGGGACGAGCCAGCCGGCGGCGCCTCCTCCAACTCCGCCTAGAAGGAGCAAGAGAGGCAGAGAAGATGTTGATGAACGAAACTCACTCCTCAAAGTACTAAGGACGATGATGCTAAAGTGATTGCGATGATGCTTGGCGACGATATAGTGATGATTTAGCGACGACAACGGTGGTTCTGTGTGGCGTCAAGCGTATTTAAGTAAATAAAAATAGGTCATAGACTTAATTTAGATCTTAACGTTGTCAGCGACGATTCTTCCTCGTTTTTTGTAACAGCAACAATTCCTTTGTATCCATCTACCCCCCAAAGCAATTTTTTATAGTTTTAAGCCTCCTCCTCCCTCCTCCGTTTGGATTAGGAAAATGCTTTTTGTCATTACACTCCTAAGTTAGTTGTTAATTAATTTAAAACGATTTATATTTCTTTGATATTTTCAGTTGCCTGCCTTTTTATATCAAAATAAACAAATGGCCTTTGCAAATTAATTGAAAATTTACAGCTTTCATGTATTTATTTATTTTATTTTTTAAATTTATTATTTTTATTCATCCCTTGACAATCCACCACCGAATCCATTGATCTCGCCTGGCTATTTGTTTTCAAATCAAAACATATTTAATCTTCAATTAGAAATCAAACATTCAGCAAAACGACAGACAAGAGTGAAAAAAACACACACACCCAAAATTCGAAAATATCGGCGAGTGCGCGCAATGGAGGAACAATTTTCGGCATATATGATATAGGATATATTTTGTACAAAGTCAAATATTTTAGAACATAATATATTATATATAAATAAATACAAAACAGAAAAGAAAACACGTTTACAAACGAAACTCATACGCTACTTTATTGTATTCAATAAATTATTTGAATTAAAACAAAATTGAAATCTTTTTCAAGTGGGTTCAAGGGGAATTTTATATATTTTTGAAATATTTTTAATAGTTTAATAGTTATAAAAATAAGGGTTAGCTAAGGAACAAGTTGGGGATCTTATTTAAACATTTAATGTTTTTTATATTAATTCAAGAATTTTATTAGAAAATTCAAAAAATTAATAATTAAATGTTCCCTGCCTTAACAAAAACTGTAAGAAAAATTAAAACAATTTGTTATTTAGTCTAGAATAATCAAAATACAGCACACAGTCCTGAGAAACATGCAGATGCCTGCAGCTTTTGGGTTGCTTTGTTTGCTATTTCCGGTTGGGTTTTCCTGCCGGTCTCCAAGACAAGTCACAGCAGTCGTTGTCCCAACGCTCAACACCTCACATCACACAAATTCACTGCAAAATTTTCCAGTCAAGCTGAAAGTTACAAAGATTGTGCCGCCTAACAAAAAGTTGTAAAAACACAGTGCAAAATATCTGAACAAAAAATTATAGTTTTCGGCACTCAAAATCGAATTTAAGCTGATTTCGTTTAACTTTATCGGTAAGCAAATATCAAACATGGCCAAGCATTTAGTTTCAAAGTCAAATGTTGATTTCTAGAATCTAGACAAAGCATTCGAATCAGTCGGTCAAACCAGAACGTATATCGAATTGATCTTTTTGAATATATTTTAAATATTGATGAGCTTCAAGTCGCTAAGAATCTAAAAATTTAAATAACATTGAAATATTCTTTAGATACACCTAGTAATATTAAGCTATATTTTTGTATACGCGCTGCCAAAGACTGGTTTTAGTTATCAAAGTATTCTTTACCCAGGGTAAGTGGAAAACTCAAGCTTCTTCTTCAAGAAAAACAAATTGAGCTTTGCTTAAAGACCATCTAGGAAAGGTTGATAGGTTTTTGGAAAGTTGCCCTCAAGCCTTGATCCTTGTGTGAGTCCTAGAGCACTGATAAAGCTGAGAAGGTGATCTTAAAGATGATGTGTTTCTGCAAAAACATCACCCAATGAAATTGAATGTCTGGTATCGAAGATGCCACTGAAGATTAAAGATCTTTGGAAGTTTTCTGACAAGTAAAATACTTGTGCAAACCTTCCGGTGTGAACTTGAGAGTATATCTTCCAAAATTATAGGATTTTGAGAAATCCCTGAAAAAATTCTCCCTCAGAAATTCTTGGACGACCGATACAGGTCGCACTTGGGCAATTTGAAGACTTGTGAGGGCTGTAAACCATATCAATATCAAATATTTTGCCCATTTCCGGTTTACTTAACACCCTATACTTTCAACAAAAGGACTTAGGACTCATGACTTACAGAACAATATTTTCGGTTTTACATGAGAACTGATTAAGTGGTCTCTGCTCCGAATATTCCTCTAATTAAATTCTTTTATATAAATTAGTTAAATATTCGAATTAAGCGCCAATTTTTGTTTTAATCGATACATCGATGTATCGATACATCGCCGATGTTTTTTTTTCTAGCTCTATAGGGTAGTTTTCTTTCTGAAAGGCGGCCACACTGTCTATTGTCAAAGAAATATCTACCCCGAAAAAATATTTAAAAGCAAATCGACGACAGCAGAAGCAAGTACAAGCAGGAAAAAATCCAGCGACTTAAGCCAGAAAATATTACATATTTCATCAGTTTGTGTTTAAAATAAAATAAGGAAGTTACAAATACGAACGTTGCACCAAAAGTAAGTAGATAATTTTTGTGTTAAAACGCAGTGAAAAAATAGTGCAAAACGTTAGTTCAAGGTCTTTGTTCGGGTTTTTTCTCTTATTCAACCTTCAGCGTAATACGAAAATTAGAAATTGGCACGCAATAGCATTTCCCATTGATTTTTCCTCAAAACAAAAACAAATTTATAAATAAAACTTGCGTGTTTTTTGTTTTTTCGCCAAGATTTATTGGCAATTGTGAAATACGCATTGACGCCATTTGAAAATTCGAGAAGTTTTACACGCACACACTTGCATATCGACTTCGGAGTATTTTGCATTGGTGAGTCAGTGCAGTTTAACTAAAAGCAAATAGTTATTAACTAAAATCATATAGTTATTAACTAAATCATGCAGTTAAAGAAAAAAAAACGCAATTAGGGCCACGTAGGAAAATTTTCAAATTGCATTTGCTGTGACGTCAGCAGTGGATACATACTAAAAATGGGTATGTACAGCTGCGGCAAAAAAAATAGCACTATGACATATATTTTTCTTCATTGATTATTTGTTTTATAACTATTCATATATTTAACTTGTTTAAGGCTTTTATTTTTTACTTTAGGCTCTAATTTATCGAAATACACTGCAAGTGTCGTCGATAATAACATGAAATTGAAATATTTACATTAAGAATGTGAACGTTGAACATTTTAGGCGGCAACAAAAATAGCACTATTTCAAAAATAACTTAAGAAAACGAAAAAAAACGAAAAAAAATACTGGAAGTTCTGGAATATTTGTATTCATTTGTATTCCTTATCGATATAGTGTATTAATATTTCGTTGTAAAAGCTTTGGCAGCAATGACAGCAGCACAACGTCTCGGCATAGAATTGACCAAGTTTTGACACCTTTCCCGTGGAATACTGCTCCATGATTCTTGAATGGTGGCCCAGAGCTCCTGATTAATCCTTGGTTTTGCATTGGAAACATATTTTTTTACATCAGACCAAAGATTCTCTATCGGGTTTAAGTCTGGAGACTGAGCAGGCCAATCCATTAGGTGAAGGGATCTGTCTTGAAACCACTTAGGAGCTTTCTTGCTGGTATGTTTAGGGTCGTTATCCTGTTGGAAGACCCACAACAACGGTATTTCGTATTCTGCATAAGACAGCATCACTGTTAGCAAAATATCGCAATAGACATGTTGATCCATAATACCTTTTATCCAATGTATTGGACCCACTCCGTAATAAGAAAAGCATGCCCAAACCATGATACTCGTTCCACCGTGTTTTATGGTCTTGCAGGTGAAACTTGGGCGGTATTCCGAATTGGGGGGTCGCCGTACATAGGATCGAGATCCTCTTCCTCCAAATAGCACGATTTTGCTTTCATCCGACCATAGGATGTTTGGGCATGCTTTTCTTATTACGGAGTGGGTCCAATACATTGGATAAAAGGTATTATGGATCAACATGTCTATTGCGATATTTTGCTAACAGTGATGCTGTCTTATGCAGAATACGAAATACCGTTGTTGTGGGTCTTCCAACAGGATAACGACCCTAAACATACCAGCAAGAAAGCTCCTAAGTGGTTTCAAGACAGATCCCTTCACCTAATGGATTGGCCTGCTCAGTCTCCAGACTTAAACCCGATAGAGAATCTTTGGTCTGATGTAAAAAAAAATATGTTTCCAATGCAAAACCAAGGATTAATCAGGAGCTCTGGGCCACCATTCAAGAATCATGGAGCAGTATTCCACGGGAAAGGTGTCAAAACTTGGTCAATTCTATGCCGAGACGTTGTGCTGCTGTCATTGCTGCCAAAGCTTTTACAACGAAATATTAATACACTATATCGATAAGGAATACAAATGAATACAAATATTCCAGAACTTCCCGTATTTTTTTTCGTTTTTTTCGTTTTCTTAAGTTATTTTTGAAATAGTGCTATTTTTGTTGCCGCCTAAAATGTTCAACGTTCACATTCTTAATGTAAATATTTCAATTTCATGTTATTATCGACGACACTTGCAGTGTATTTCGATAAATTAGAGCCTAAAGTAAAAATAAAAGCCTTAAACAAGTTAAATATATGAATAGTTATAAAACAATTAATCAATAATGAAAAATATATGTCATGGTGCTATTTTTTTTGCCGCAACTGTATGTATGCGATGTATGCATACACACACATAGACACAAAGAAGTGACAAAGCAACGGAACAAAGGTTTCTCAGTTTCCCTTGTTTCTTCGTTTCTCCATTTCTCTTTGTTCGTTGAATCGAAAATGGGAGAGAACCTGAAACGAAAGCACTTTGACCCCTTGCAGGCAGCAGGCTTTGACAACTACGTTTCCACCCCTGGGTCTCCCGTCGAATAGAGTCGGCCTGAAAATTCAGTAATTGTGTAATTTTCTCCCAGGCTGAGCTCTGTGATCTGATCTGCTTTCTTACTAATTTTCCAACTTTAACTTTTTACTCGCAGAATAATTCGAAATGCAGATCTTTGTGAAAACCTTGACTGGAAAGACCATCACCTTGGAGGTTGAACCTTCGGACACCATTGAGAATGTGAAGGCCAAGATCCAGGACAAGGAGGGAATCCCTCCAGATCAGCAGCGTTTGATCTTCGCCGGCAAGCAGCTGGAGGACGGACGCACCCTCTCCGACTACAACATCCAGAAGGAGTCCACCCTCCACTTGGTGCTCCGTCTCCGAGGTGGAATGCAGATCTTCGTGAAGACTCTTACCGGAAAGACCATCACTCTGGAAGTGGAGCCATCCGACACCATTGAGAATGTAAAGGCCAAGATCCAGGACAAGGAGGGAATCCCTCCAGATCAGCAGCGTCTCATTTTCGCCGGCAAGCAGCTGGAGGATGGCCGCACTCTCTCCGACTACAACATCCAGAAGGAGTCCACCCTCCACTTGGTGCTCCGTCTGCGCGGAGGAATGCAGATCTTTGTGAAGACTCTTACCGGAAAGACCATCACCTTGGAGGTGGAGCCATCAGACACCATTGAGAATGTGAAGGCCAAGATCCAGGACAAGGAGGGAATCCCTCCAGATCAGCAGCGTTTGATCTTCGCCGGCAAGCAGCTGGAGGACGGACGCACCCTCTCCGACTACAACATCCAGAAGGAGTCCACCCTCCACTTGGTGCTCCGTCTGCGCGGAGGAATGCAGATCTTTGTGAAGACTCTTACCGGAAAGACCATCACCTTGGAGGTGGAGCCATCAGACACCATTGAGAATGTGAAGGCCAAGATCCAGGACAAGGAGGGAATCCCTCCAGATCAGCAGCGTTTGATCTTCGCCGGCAAGCAGCTGGAGGATGGCCGCACCCTCTCTGACTACAACATTCAGAAGGAGTCGACTTTGCATTTGGTGCTTCGTCTCCGTGGAGGAATGCAGATCTTCGTGAAGACCCTGACTGGAAAGACCATCACCTTGGAGGTGGAGCCATCCGACACCATTGAGAATGTGAAGGCCAAGATCCAGGACAAGGAGGGAATCCCTCCAGATCAGCAGCGTCTCATTTTCGCCGGCAAGCAGCTGGAGGATGGCCGCACCCTCTCCGACTACAACATCCAGAAGGAGTCCACCCTCCACTTGGTGCTCCGTCTGCGCGGAGGAATGCAGATCTTTGTGAAGACTCTTACTGGAAAGACCATCACTCTGGAAGTGGAGCCATCCGACACCATTGAGAATGTGAAGGCCAAGATCCAGGACAAGGAGGGAATCCCTCCAGATCAGCAGCGTCTCATTTTCGCCGGCAAGCAGCTGGAGGATGGCCGCACCCTCTCAGACTACAACATCCAGAAGGAGTCAACTCTCCACTTGGTGCTCCGTCTGCGCGGAGGAATGCAGATCTTTGTGAAGACTCTTACCGGAAAGACCATCACCTTGGAGGTGGAGCCATCCGACACCATTGAGAATGTGAAGGCCAAGATCCAGGACAAGGAGGGAATCCCTCCAGATCAGCAGCGTTTGATCTTCGCTGGCAAGCAGCTGGAAGACGGACGCACCCTCTCCGACTACAACATCCAGAAGGAGTCCACCCTCCACTTGGTGCTCCGTCTGCGCGGAGGAATGCAGATCTTTGTCAAGACGCTGACCGGAAAGACCATCACTCTGGAAGTGGAGCCATCCGACACCATTGAGAATGTGAAGGCCAAGATCCAGGACAAGGAGGGAATCCCTCCAGATCAGCAGCGTTTGATCTTCGCCGGCAAGCAGCTGGAGGACGGACGCACCCTCTCCGACTACAACATCCAGAAGGAGTCAACTCTCCACTTGGTGCTCCGTCTCCGAGGTGGAATGCAGATCTTCGTGAAGACTCTTACCGGAAAGACCATCACCCTCGAAGTGGAGCCATCCGACACCATTGAGAATGTGAAGGCCAAGATCCAGGACAAGGAGGGAATCCCTCCAGATCAGCAGCGTCTCATTTTTGCCGGCAAACAGCTTGAGGACGGACGCACCCTGTCCGACTACAACATTCAGAAGGAGTCCACTCTCCACTTGGTGCTCCGTCTGCGCGGAGGAATGCAGATCTTCGTGAAGACCCTGACTGGAAAGACCATCACCTTGGAGGTGGAGCCATCCGACACCATTGAGAATGTGAAGGCCAAGATCCAGGACAAGGAGGGCATCCCCCCAGATCAGCAGCGTCTCATCTTCGCCGGCAAGCAGCTGGAGGATGGCCGCACCCTCTCCGACTACAACATACAGAAGGAGTCCACCCTCCACTTGGTGCTCCGTCTCCGCGGAGGAATGCAGATCTTCGTGAAGACCCTGACTGGAAAGACCATCACCTTGGAGGTGGAGCCATCCGACACCATTGAGAATGTGAAGGCCAAGATCCAGGACAAGGAGGGCATCCCCCCAGATCAGCAGCGTCTCATCTTCGCCGGCAAGCAGCTGGAGGACGGACGCACCCTGTCCGACTACAACATCCAGAAGGAGTCCACCCTGCATTTGGTGCTCCGTCTGCGCGGAGGAATGCAGATCTTTGTGAAGACCCTGACTGGAAAGACCATCACTCTGGAAGTGGAGCCATCCGACACCATTGAGAATGTGAAGGCCAAAATCCAAGACAAGGAGGGAATACCCCCAGATCAGCAGCGTTTGATCTTCGCCGGCAAGCAGCTGGAGGACGGACGCACCCTCTCCGACTACAACATCCAGAAGGAGTCAACTCTCCACTTGGTGCTCCGTCTCCGCGGAGGAATCCAGGCTTAAGCTGAACACATTTCCAAATAAACACGAGATTCTATGCACTAACTTTTCACGACTCACTATCAAGGCAAGCAATTGACGACGGATTCGGAGGGAGGCCATTATAAATTCGAAATTCCAGTACAGGCCACGATTACTTTAGTTAATGCTTTTCCTTATATATATATCTAAATTCACCTTTCAAATCACAAATACACACAATTAAAATAAAAAGCATTTGTTGATTAATTAATTTATTGTTTTTTAATGGCAGTATTTTTTTCGCGATTTAAATGTTGCGGGAAAAAATAAGCATAAAAATACCAAAATAGACCATTTTTATTTTGATGCGACAACCCTGGCTTGGGAACAGCGAGGCGTTAGTGCTTTTTCTCTATTTACGTTTTGCCCGAAATAAATGTTTTTGTTTGCACATTAAATTTTTAATTATGGCGAAATTACTGCAGCGCGTGGAAGTCACATTGCGTAGCCTTTACGTATTCAACTCCAGCTTCGGGGAGCGTGAAGGCGAGGTGGGTGTAGTGGTTTCCTTTGGCCAGAAACGCCCCTAAATGAGTAATATTTTGCAGGAACATAAGAAAATTTTGTTCTATCATCCGAATGACATTGAACTGAACACAAAAATCAAGGATGTGGGTCTTAGCGAGGCCATCATACGCTTTACAGGGTATTTAATGGACTTTAAACTGCCCCGGGAAGTGAGTTATTATGAAGATTACGTCTGCTTGCAGGACTTTCACCTCGGAGGACGATTGCCAGGCGTTGCACACCCAGAAAACCACTCAACTCTTTTACCAGCCAGAACCAGGATATTGGATGGTCATGATGCTCAATGTGCCCAAGGAAGTGCGCCTGAAGGAGGGCGTGGAGGTGAATGACTACCGGGGAGCAGAGATCTCGGACAGGATCTACAGAGCAATCCTAAGGCAATGCTATCGAATGTTTTGCCTGCAGCACGGTACCTTCACAGCCCACGGAGTCCTAGAAACGGATGCCGAGCGGCGAAGGGAACTGCTGGGACAGGAACTGCTCGGTTTCTACGAGAAGTACCTCGCCAGGGACCTAAAGGATCTGGCCCACTGTGATATCATCGACATGCTGCATTCCATACAGTATATGCCACTGGACAAGTCCCTCTTTCTGCGGGCCCAGAATTTTGGAATGCTTGCCGAAACCTTTCCGGTTATTAAGGAGACGGTGATGCTCTACCAGGAGCAGATCCTTTGCGGGGGAAAGCTACAGCCGGAGGATCTCTATAGCCTGCATTCGTATCTAGTGCAAAATGTACTGAAAGTGGAGGCGAGCAGCTCTAACCTGGCGGTGAGTCCCTCGCTCAAGCGGAGCATCAGCGAGAGTCAGTTGCCAGGATTTGTGAGGCAACTAGAAGAGGAAGGGGAGGATAAGCCCCTGAAGGTCTATGTGAATGTGGAGAAGCAAACCAAGACGTATTACCTGCTCATCTATCGTGCTCTCCACATAACGCTTTGTTTGTTCCTGGAAGGTGAGTTTGATGCCATTTTCTTTTTACTTTTAATAACCTTTCCTTACTTCCCTTTCCAGCTGATCAGCCTGCACCCAAACAGGAGCTCTACGATGAACTAAACCTTTATTTAAGTGGCCAATTGACCTCGCTGGCCCGCGACATAGCCAGCGAGCTGAACAAGGAGGCGGTGGGCTCAGCAGACAGCAACACAAATGACAGCGAAACGGCAGCCAAGTACTTGTTCATCAACGAACAGAGCCTGCAGCATCACACCAACATGCAGCGACACCTGCCCCAGGGGGGAATCCCTCGCAATGTACTAAGCATCATTGCGGATCTGGCTAATTCCAGTGGGAAATCCGAAAACCTGGAAGACAGTGCCCCCGCCGAGGAGCTGCAGGTGAAGACCACCAACGATTACTGGATTGTGAAGAGGCGCTGCAACTTCCGGCAGTATTATGTGATCCTTTGCAACAGCAAGTTCACCCTGCTGGACGTTACCCAGGAAGCAAGACGCATTTTCGAACAGGAGCTTACAGATGATGTATTCTTTGACAAATAAAAAGGAGAATCAAGTACAGAATGGGTGTGCGCCAATTGTGGGTTCTGGGTGGTAGATTGCCACCCCGTTGCCAGCAGAAACGGCAAGTGGGGGGCGGTCGAACATCCGAGTTTGGGTTTCAAGCCAGCACCGCTCCAGCACTGTCGGAGGCATCGTTATACACGCTGTTCGAGGAGGAGGAGCTGGCCGTGGCGGTGGTGGTATTGCCACCATTCTGGCTGCCGCTGATCTTAACGATGTATATCCTGCGGTTGGACATGCAGATGCTGTAGTAGTACTCCTCGTAGTCGATGGTGATCCTTTCGCAGCTGCTATTCGGCATAAAGGACTCGTCGATGCTGAAATGTTTTGTTTAAACAAATGAATCATTCTGATAATCAGACTTAAGGCCCCCACCTCTCGGTGAGATTGAGCAGGCCCATTATCACATTGGCGCTGTGCTCATCATTCTTGAGCTCCCCGCCGGATTCCAGGACTGCGCCATCGTCCTTTAGCACCAGGTAGCCAATTTGATTGGGCACAATTGATTTTTCCTTGTCCATTGGCACGGAAATATTCTATTTATTTATTTATTTATCTTTTTCTCACGCCCTGGCTAAGTGTGGCCAGTTGGAGTTGGACGAAAAATACTGAGCGGAAAAAACGAGCCTGGCCACACCGATATTTTAAGGCGGATAATTTGAAATTGTATTTTTACTGGGCTGAAAAGATGTTCAAAAAGGGGCAATATTACAACTTTTTCTATTAATTTTTCGAAAATGACACACCGTTTTTACTTCTAATAATTTTCCAAATTTACCTATGGCAAAAATAATACAACTTCCCCCAAAATTCAATAAAAACCCTTTTTTATACCCTTGCAGGGTATTATAATTTCAGTCAGAAGTTTGCAACGCAGTGAAGGAGACGTTTCCGACCCTATAAAGTATATATATTCTTGATCAGCATCAACAAGCGAATCTTTCTAGACATGTCCGGAAGAAATCGATTTTTTGGCCATTTTTGCGAAATTTGATAAGGGGTTACATCATTAAAATTAGCAAAAATACCCAAAAATTTTGATATCTTAAAATTTTAAATTTGGTATGCAGTTTTTTTAAATTAATAAAAACTAACACAAAACTGCTTTCCGAATCGAAATTAATGCATTTTTGGCTTAGTTATGATATATTTTAATTGTTACCTGCAAGGGTATACAAACTTTGGCTGGCCAAAGTTAGCTTTCTTTCTTGTTTTTGTTTAAAAACTGTTATATTCCCTCAAAACTTAATTAAAAACTCGTTTTTTTGTTTGTTTAAAAACTGTTATATTCCTCCAAAATTCAATAAAAAACCTCGTTTTTTGTTTAAAAACTGTTATATTCCCTCAAAATGCAATAAAATACCCATTTAAAAACTGTTATACATATTCCCCCAAAAATTCAATAAAAAACCCCTTTTTTTTTGGTTTAAAAACTGTTATATTCTTATACTGTTTTACATTTAGCATAGAATTTCAAACACACATACACACTGAAACTGATGCCGACTGAATTACAATGCATTTTAATTTATTTCATTTATTTTTTTCTTGTTTATTTAGCTTAAATAATTAAGAATTTCTCGCCTGCTTGTTTCCTACTAATTGTTCTCCCTCTTGTTTTTATTTTTAAGTTTATTTTGCTTGTATTTTTTTATTTTTTTGTAATTTCATATTTTGATCACATTTTGATTTCGCATGCCCAAAGTGAATTTGGTTTGTGTTCCGAATGATTCGCCTGAATGTGTAAACCTACAACTCTCTCTCACTGTCCGTCCGATAAATCAAAAATATATATGTGTATATATATATATGCTTTACTTGTATGTTTAGGGATTTATGCAAGCCTCTCTGCTCCTCCTGGTGTATATATGCTAATATTCAGTCAATATTATATTATATGTTGGCCGCTTTGCTCGGGAAGAGAGCTCGGGGGCCTTCAGTGGAGGATCGATCGAAAACCTGAAGATCTGTGTCTGTGTTTCTGCTCTCTAATGGGAAGAGTATATGTTAGTTTATGAATTATCCTTCAAATGTCGTATATAAAGTATGTACAAGTTATTATTTTGGGAGTTTTCGATGTATGTTGCATTAGTTTTTTAGTTTTGTTTGAAAATCAAAAACAAGAGACTTGATCTTGGTATTATATGCGAGCGATCTCAACTAAATAACAGTACTAACTTCGTATCGGAGCTGTAACATGGTTAAGGCATATGGAGGATTTAATGTAAAATGTTGGAATAATGCTTGGTTTATGTGTAGATATAGCCTAACTCTCATCTTTCACATGTTTTCACACTTTAAGTATTGCTTAAAAATGTTTAAACATATGCCAAAATGTTTGTTAATTAGGCTATAAAAAAACTATTGTTTGCAAGAATTGTTGTAATTTGTTTTCTGTAATTTATTTGATATACCCTAAAAATTTGTTTACAACTAAATACTAATGCGTATGCTTAAAATTGTTTAAAAAATATAGTATTATTTATATATATAATATATTTATATGGGTTTTTTAGTCACTAAAAAGAAATTGTACGACAAAAATTTCAAACGGAGAGGATCAATCAACCCATAAAGTGTGTGTTGTGTTTTAACAATTACAAAATGTGGCTGTGTGTGTGTGAATGTGACCCCTAGAAAAACGGGGCAAATCTTGGCTTACTTACTAGGGATTTCTCAATATATTACGACATATTTCATATTTCAATTACTAGGAGAGCTTAAAAACGTTGCTATTTATATGCTTCTGGTTTGCTGGCAAAAATAAACAGAAAAAGGAATAAACTACCAACAATTACTGTTTCTTTTTGCATTCTTGTATAATTAATTGTATAATTATTGTTTACAAATAGCATAATTATATTAATTACGTTTATATTTGATGTTTTTCTTCTTCCTTCTTTTGTTTTCTATTGTTTGTTTTAAATTATAAAATTAACTAATCAAGAAAACCATAAAATTATTTGTTTTTGTTTGTTGTTTTGTTTGCTGCTGCTGCTGCTTATTTTTAATGTTTTTGTGTTTTTATTGTTTAGTTTTTGACCTTTTAGGCCTTCCAGTTGTTCTGGCGACTGCCACTGGCACCGCTTTGCTGCTGTGGCGGAATCATCTCCAGCAGATACTGTCGCTGCAGCTCTGCCGCCCGTTGAACATCTGCCATGCTGCTGGCGCTGCTCGAGTTCTTGGCCGAACCCGACGAAGAGCTACTCTTTTTATTGTTGTTGTTGAAGGCTATTTAAAAAATTAAAGTTTATTAAGTAAATTTCTTGGTAGAAATGCAAATTTAAAAGAGTTTCTCACCTGCCACTTGGGCCGCCTGCGCCATGGCCACCTGGTAAGAGTACAAGAGTGGTGCAAACTGCATCATATGCTGCGGATTGGCCCCAAGACCTTGTCCCAAAGCTAATTAAAAATATTAAATATTTCAAAATAAATTTCAAATAATTTAAAACTACAATAAAACTCACCTCTAAATAGTTGCTGCTGGAAAGCCTGCATAGCTGCCGCCGTGGCTGCTGGCGAGGAGGCCGCTGCTGCCGCTGCATTGTTGGAGGCCGAACTGGCCCCACCACCAAAGTTACCCAAACCGCCCAAGGCTGCCAGATTGCCCAGCTGGCTGAGATTGCCCAGATTGCCGAGATTGCCCAGACTGGCCAGGCTGTTGAGGTTGAGGCCACCCATGCCGCCGAGGGCACTGAGATGAGCAGCCGCCGCCAGCGTGGCTGCCGAGTACTTGTCATAGCTCTGCGCCTGCTGCTGCTGTTGCGTCTGCTGATCCCGTTCCCGCTGATCACGTTGCTGCTGCTGCTGGTGATGATCATGGCGATCGTTGCGGGAGGAACGCGACGACGAGGCCGTCTCATGGTGATGCGCTGCCGTTGGCCCGGGACTAAGGATACCCGCCTGCTGAGCAGCAATGGCAGCAGCCGCAGCAGTGGCTGCCGCTCGCGAAGATCGCGATGAACCCGACGACGATGGCGGCGGTGTGGGTTGACTTTGCGGTGGCGGCGGCGTTGGACGCGGTGTGGCTGGCGTTGGTGTCTGGCATTTGGTGGGTATCACCGTCACCGACGGCGGCAGATTGACCAAGGCAGCAGCCGCCGAAGCATGCGTCGCCTGCAATTGTTCCCGTTCCCTTTGCATATGCGACGAGGAGGAATTGGAGCTGGTTACTGCGGATACAGACAGCGAGTTGCTGTTGTTGTTGTTGCTGCTATTGGAACCATGGTTGTCCACCGGCGAAGGACTGCTCTGGCTGGCCAAACGCTGCTCAATCTCCTGCTCCTGCTGCAGAGCCTTCACAAACGCCTGTTTCAGTCGATTGGTGTGCTCCGCCTTCAGGGCCTTCTTTACATTGGAGGTGACACACTGCTCGCAAATCACCTTGGGATCCTTGTTGGCTGTGAAAGGGGAAAGGGAAAGCGGTTTTTAATTATTTATAATCAAGAATTTTGTAGAAATTCGTAGAGAAATGACCTGCAATTTCTTAGGTTTAAGGAGGTATGAAAAATAGACTTACTCTGCTTTTCCCATTTCCAAACAGGCGTAAAATCAATCTTGCACTGGGCACAGCGGAAGGGAGCAGCCACAGCATTGGCCTTCTTGTTGACGGTCAGATAATCGACAACGGTTTCCAGGCCCAAAAGATATACAAAGTCCGTGTTGCTGGGATTGGGAATGAAGTGCATCTCTGGCGGTGGTGGCTTTGGTGGGGGAATCTTTTTGGGCATAAAAAAAAAAGATGAATAATTATTCGTATTTTAAATTATATTTTTTACTCACCTGCAGCAGCGTCTTTTCCAGCTGCTTTCGCAGTGCCATTTTAGCTGCCGCCTGTCTTTGAGCGGGTGTCTGCGCATCTTCTCTTGGCGTAGAGCGATCATTCTATAAAATATTTCAATAAACAATCTAGCTAACTTTAATTATAATTAAGACTAACCTTCATTTCGTTGAGCTGATTCTGATGCTGCTGGGACAGTGGTGGCGCCGGTGTGATGGAAACAGAATTGCTTATGGTCCCAGGTACCTTCGAATTATCCGAAATATTAGGCTGCATGTTTCAACGAATTGTTTTTTTTGGGGTTTTTTGTTTAGTAGGAATATCAAGTACAAATACAGAATAGCAGAGAGAGAGGCAAAGTTGCGTTTAGTCGTTGGCTGATTTTATTAAATGTGTTGAATGAATGCGAGAAATGATGGAATATTAAGTAGTGCCACTTGCTCGAAGCCTCCTCGGTTTTTGGTTTATGTGAAAACAAAAAAGATTTCCAGACAGAGGTCGACTTCGACGGATTTGACAGGTGTGTTAGTAAGTGTTTTTAGGGTTATTGGTGGAGTGTTTTGTAAGTGTAGTGTTGCAAATGTTTATCTTCTCTATGTTTTAAACCAGCAAGAACTAAACAAGTTTAAAACAAATTAAATAACTCAGAAATGTTGGTTAAATATAAGTAAATTAAGTGAATTTTAGAATACAGAATCTGTATTGATTTAAAAAAGTATAAGAAAATATTATATAATATTCTGCAAAGCTGTAATGAATCGATATTTTTCTCTAAACAAAAACTATATTTAATTAATTTTCCTATAGT